GTGTGGGTGTGTGTGTGTGTTTGTTTTTTCCACGCTCCTTTTCTGCTCCAGAAATGGCGCTGGCCCTTCAACATCAGGCTGTGCTGAGTTGGTTCTCGTGTGAGAAACTAGTTCCTGGCCGCCTACCAGCAGTGGGTAAAAACTGGTGCACTGCAAGAGATGTGCAATGGCAAGGCCGACGAAGTTGCCAAAATGAATTGGGCATGCATCAGATCACAGGCCATGACCCACTAGAGGAGTTCGGGCGCGTTGGATCGGCATTGTGAGACTTAAGGTGAGACGGTTGAGAAGCAACAGATTTTTTTTTTTTAATACTGGCCTTCTTGAAACGTTGGGCGAAGCCTCTTGGACCAGTGTCTCCTTTTTTTTTTAATACTGGTCTTCGTGAAACTTTGGGCATTGCCTCTTGGACCAGTGCTGCAGGGTTACACTCCGGGGTTCGGAGGGCTTGCATAGGGTCACGGGGATCTATCAGTCTGGGCGACTGGGTGCAAGGGGGTCCTCTGGAACTGGCAGCTTGTGTCCAATGCATTCGATGAACCCTTCCAGGCCTTAGCAAAATGCCGTGGTGAAAACTGATGTCAAAAGCGTCCGGGAAATCCAATCTGCCAAAATGGCTGTTATTCTCGCCGACTAGGCCTTAGCAAAGTGCCGTATCAAAATTGGAAAACTGGCAAGTCTGAACTGGAGTCCAGGTAGTGGAGCACTGGTGCATGCTGGAATGGTGACTCCCTGCAAGCGGCTAGGTTTCGGCTGCAATGCCTGCAAAGGTCAGGATGTACCGCCTTGCTAGATCGCTGGGTTACCCACAAGGGGAGTACACCACGTTGGATCTTATTGTGAAACAGGTATATTCCTACGTCCCAATTCTTTTTTTTTTTTGAGGGCTTCGACCTATGTGGGCCCGTGGCCTCTTGTCCCTCCTTCTCTTCTTTTTTTTTTTTGGGACTGCATCTGGAGATCCTATCCGGCAATAAATGGGTGATTGCCAGCGTGTCGACGGTGGCTGAGGCGATCCTCACGGTTCAGGGTCTGGCTGACTTTGCAGCAGTGCCAGCAACGAAACATCTGTGCCGTGCTCTGGCGGCTGTAGGCTGGGCAGCCGATGCAGTTCAAGGCATTCGGTTTTGCATAGCCAGAGGCAGGTGATTCCCTGATGAAACACCTCAGGCAAGGTCAGCATTCGGACTGGGGTCCTGCGATCATCACAATGTACCCAAAGCGAAGGTTGTGCCAGATCCGAGACTTCCGGGTACACCCGCAGGGCTGCTTCATAGTGGCCTCCTCTTGTGTGACCCTGATGGGAAATGCCTGCAACTACAGTGTACGCAGTTGTACCAGTGGACGGGCCTATCAAAACAGGTACATCAATAGCCCATTCAAACCGCAAAGCTGCCGTGCACTTTCGAAGTACCCCCGAGGAATTCTGCACCAGACGATCAATGTGAAGTAAAAGCAGGTCCTGTGGATCAGTCAAACCCGCCTGCATTCCAAGATCTGTGCTCCACCACCTCAGCAAGGTGGTCAGATGGACTTCTGCAAGGTCAACCATATGTGGGGCAAACTGCAATGTCAACGGCATGTACAGATCCCCAGAGTCATGAAGCTCGGTCTTTTGCCCCAGGTGCACACGTCGCTCCCAGCAGTTGGAGAGGGCCGGTGGCACAATCCAGCTTGACAGCATGTGCAAGAACTCTGCACTGTCAGCCTGATCCTGATCTTCATTCCATCCCTGCACAAGTGAGTTAAACCAACTGGCATCGGCAAGGCTGAAAAGAGTGTCATTAGCCTGGAGCAAAATGCGATGCAGGTCAGGTGAACGTGCGCCCCAGTCATGGAGTTGGAATCCAATCCTTGACATAAAAGCCCAAAGCATACTAAGAAATGCGCTGTTGGCATAACAAAGGTTGCTGCCGGCATTTTCCAGGGGGAGCCTCAGAAGTTGAGCTCTCAGGTGATGCCGTGCGCTGCCATCTAGCTCTGGTTGCTCGGCTTGGGGGTGTGCTTGGTTTTCCCCTTGCCCTTGCTCGGCCGCGAAGTTCCTTTGCCCAAGGTGGCCTGAAGCTGCAAGGCCGGTTTTGAGAGCACCTGATTGTGCTGTTTCACCGACATCCCCAGGAGTGTCCAGATCGTGTTGTTGCAGAGGTCGTGCATCAGCTCCCAGACGTCCGAGTCCCGATGGCTCAACTGAAGCAGCCATGGAATGGTCTCCTGGTCGTTGCGCAGGCTCTGGAACTTGACCACGTGGCGGTTGGACTTGAGCAGGTCCTCCAACGTCTGTAGATCCCGGAGCATCCTCTCCATGGGGATCGGTGGATGGGCTGCTCGGATCAACTGTTTGGATTCCGGCGACCACTTCTGGTACGCCCAGCTCCCGTCGGGGAGAAGAGCTCCTTTGTTGATGGCTACGTCCCACAGAGGCTCGCCCGGTTTGCTGTTCGCTACCTGTTTCGCCCGGCGATGGAGCTCGGTCACTAGGCCGCCCATCAGGTGGGTTCGGAGGGTTGGCCATCTGATGTTGTCCCTCTGTTGGGGAGCTTGGTCGCGCCATGTTTTGGCCATCTGGGTGAGCAGGGGAAGGATGCCGTCCTCTCTGCTTTGGGCGAACATAACGAAGCAATCCTGGCGGAGCTGTAGTTGTAGGGCTCGATCGTGGTTCAGCAGCACCTGTGTCATCAGGCGGAGGAGATTGGTCATGGTCTCTTTGGCTTGAAGGTCGGCGGCTTGGGCGTCGCCTCTGGCTGCCTTGTGACGCTTGTTCGCCAAATCTCCTTCGTTTCCTTCTTGGTGCTTGCGGGCCCCCAACAGCAGAGGGCCCAACGCTGAGAGGCCTTCCATCAATGCCTGATCGTTGGGATCCATCAGAGCGTCCATCGAGGGGATGCAGCAAGCAAGCAATCTGAAGCACCACCGGGCAGCTTGAGACAAAATGACTATGCAGTGTCTGCAGTCTGGCAGACGACACTGGTTCATCAAATTCACGCGGCAAGTTGAAAACCTGTTGACAGAAGATACACTGATAGTCCTGCTGTTGTAGGTTCTGCATGACCATATACAACTGGAACGCAATCTGGGTTGCCCACGCACTGGTGTTGGGATGCATTGTCAGCAGGTGTCGCATCAGGGCTGCTGGCTGATAGTGTCCACCACAGAGTACACATCGAGAACGCAGTCCCTGCAAAACCTGTGAATCCTGCCACAGCTGAGAAAAATGGCGACCTGTCAGGATGTCGATCAACCTGTTGGTGAGGGCCGCTTGATTGAGACATTCCAGGGCAGGGGAAAGCACAGCTGCACTGAATTGGGTCGGCACGAACAGCTGGGTGTCTGTGTGGGCCAGCATCATGGCTATTTGCCGCAAGGATGTGCACACATGAGTCAATCCCACCTCGTGAGCTTGGGGGTTGCAGGTGCAACCTCGTTTCGCCATAACTGCCTGTAACAGAAACCTCAACATGTTTTGGGAAGCTGTCCAGAGGGCACCATGTGACTGTAGAAGATGTGCAACAACATCGCCTGTGCGCATGTACTTCATCCCACAGAATTGACAAACTGTCGTCAATTGTAAACGCTGATGGGCTGTCAATGCTGCAAAGTTTCCAGTGCTGAGCCAGGCACCCCACTTGCCCGTGGTGTCAATGGGATTGGGAGATGCCAACGGGTCAAATGACCCGCAGCGCCCCTCAGTTATGTGGCGTCGCAGCCCTGAGCGGCTCTCGAACTGTGCGCCGCAGTGACGGCAAATGTCGTTTCCCTCTTGGGAGTCTCTCGCAGGGCACCAATCGTTGATGGTGAGTCCATGTTCAAGGGACATATGTCCATACAATTGACTGGCATCATCAAATTGCTGAATGCAGATGTCACATGTCCTTTCAGCATGATGTCTGTCATCTGGATCCATCAACTGTAGGCGTAGAGCTCCAACCTGCAATGTGACAGGACAGCTGTGCACCCGATGAAAAGTTTTGCCACACATCGAGCAGGGGGATGTCTGTTGCAAGATGTGCGAGAGTTGGACTCCTTTGGCTACGCTTCCCCTTGTCTCGGCTTGATGGTACAGCTTGTGATGTCCATGCAGTTCCTGAAAACGATTGCACCACATGCCACAGAACACACAATGATTGGAAAGGTACGCTGTGACGTCCTGTCTGTTGCCTAAGGCAGTCCAGTCATCTGCATTCAAGATGTGTTGCAAGTCCGGCCAAAATGGCCGTGAAGCAGCATGGAAGTCCAAGTCTGGCTGTAACATCGGTCTGGTCAAAGGCGCAGGTGCAAAGCGCAGGTGTGGCCCACGTTGAGGTGCCTGGCAGCAGTCGCGTTGCACATGGATGAAAAATTGGTTCCAGGTGGCAAACATGATCAGGCAATGGCTGCATTGGGGTTTCCCCTGCATTGACATGTCCAGGGGTGACATGTCACTGGTGCGAAATTGTCTGTGTTGATGATGTGTAGTAAGGTGACGACGCAAATTGGCAACACTGCATGTGGCAAAATCACAGTACTGACATTCATGTTGTGCCTTTGTCTGCACTGGCGCCGCCGGATCTAAGGCGATGGGCACCTCCGGAGCAGTTTGGCGGATGCATTGGATCAGTGCCAAAACGTCATGCAGATGGCTCCAATCCAGTCTGCGTAAGAAATCATCAGGCTGCAACAGTTGGTCCTGCCTATGGAGGCGTCGGAGCAAGCCCATGGCCAGGTTTGACAAAAGGTCGAGTGGTGGTGCAATGCTGTACAACTGAAAAACCTGCTGGTGCGTGTGTTGTGTTGCATATGGATGGTCGCCCAGGATCATGCGGATCATTTGATACACCGTGACCTGGTACTCGTGTATGACAGGCAGTGTGACATGTGTCGAAAGCAACCCATAAGTGAGCACAGTATGAACACAAGTTTGCCAGAGATAGAGCCGTTTTGCAATTGGCAATTGCCTACTTCTGAGCCAGGCCCGCACACGGTTAAAAGCAGCCCATCCAGCTTTCTTGCGATGTGCCCATGTCTGTGCTTCAAACGAGTGGTAGCTGATCACTGCTCCCAGATAGCGTCCTTTGGTCTTCAGCGGCAATGGTGTCGAAGAGCCGTCTTGTCTTGGGACAAGAAGGGATGTCCCTGCAGATGTTCGTTGGATGCACCCTTTCAACACTGGACGTGGGTTCGTACCGGTATACCTCAAGGTCATGAAGGATTTGGAGTAGGAGATCGAAAGACCCAAACTTTCCAGGCAATCCAATGCATGTCCCAAATTGATCAGGTGAGTCCGGAATTCATGGGGGGATCGAAAGGCGCAACCGAAATGAACATCGTCTGCGTAAATCGTCACCACTTCAGTGATCCAGTCAGGGCCTGTCTTGTCCGCCAGCATGTGCAGAAATCGGTCCATAAAAACAATCCATAATAATGGAGCAATTTTGCATCCTTGACGTAATCCTTTTCCTACCCTGACTCTGGTGGTGCTACCTCGGAAGACCAAATTGTAATGCGTATTTTCATGCCAGCTGGCAACCAGTTGAATCAAATGTTCAGGGGTGCCCAAGTCATGCAAATGATTACAAATGGTACTTCTGCATGCAGTGTCAAAGGCCCTGGTCATGTCCAGAAATAGGGAGAACCCTCCGCAAATTTTGAACTTGTGATTTGGGCACATTTGCGTTTGGACCGTACGCCGATGTGCTGTCACAAGGGCACGTATGCTACGGCTGTGGGCAGAGACCCGAAGGATCGCATCCGTTGCTGCTCGCAGGGGAAGAAATCCAAACTGCGGGGAACAACTCAGGGAAGGGAATAAGCAATCTTTGATCTTGGAACAGAGGAGCCCCATCACCAGTTTGCCTAATGGTTCCATGAGCGAAATGGGTCGTAACTGGTCGGGATGTGTATTTGGCTTACCCGGTTTGGGAAGGAAAAATAACCACGAATCTTTCCAGACTTGAGGAATTATTGGAGGGGAATGATTCCACCAAGAAACAAGCTGGGAATGGAGGAATGTGGCAACTTCATGGGGAGCACTCTTCCACACGACTGCCGGCAGGAACGGCTTGGCCACCGCCTTGTTGCTGTGCAGCAAGGCAGCAGCCTGCTCTAATTCCTGCACCGTAAATGGCACGCCCGGGGCTTCAGCTGTATATCGTGGGAGTCGGGCTGGGCCCTGCCACATTTGTTGGACGAAGGATACCGTCATGGAGTGCGCCATGTACTGATCTGCAATTTGCCCGTCTGGTCCTCTCAATCTGGCTCTTGCCAATGGCCTTTTCGGGGAATAGCGATTGATTAAATCAAACATTTTATGGGTATCTTGATTCTGTGCAGCAATGGCTACTTCCTGACAGAGAGTGTCGAACAATCTAGTCTTGGCGAGTCTGGCCTCTCGTTGTTGGATCCTCTGCAAAATTTGATACCGGCTGCGATGATGCCATGCCTGAAACAGCTTTTGGAGCACTGGGCGGTCAGCAAGGAGGGCAAGGAGACGGAGCTGGCGCCTGTGATGCCATTTGTCCTCGATGACCCTCTTGGCTCCAGAGTAATCGACCTGTGCTAGATTGGAATTTTTACCCGGAAAAAGTTGGTGAAACTCATGTGATACTGTGTCATGAATTCGTGTGACAACTTCATCAGCTGAAAAAGCCTGGTGGTCCGATTGCAATGCATCCACCACTTGCTGTCGGAGCAGTTGCCAGTTGGGAGTCTCCTGTAAGCTCTCTTGTCGGCAACGAGTGCGTTGTGCATGTGTGCAGGCTGTCTTGGAATCAAATGTTTGATATGACATGTGTTTTGCAGGCACAGAGCATTGTATTGGTATATGATGTGATTGATTGTGAGGAACAAAGTCGGCATCTTCCAGATACAACACTGCTTTGGAACTACCATCGCATGCAACTGTCCTAAGTAGGATGTGATCAATCCTAGATGCGTGACTGCCATGATAGTAAGTTGCTCCTGACTGGTTCCAGGTGTTGACTGCAGTGAGGCCATGCACACGCAGGATTTGCTGCAGTCTTTCATGGTCTGGATGTTGTGACCCCAGAGTCTGTTGTCCTTTCCACGGAAAAGTCGAGCCACCCACCCAGGGCGGGTGATAAGCAAGGGAGCAGTTGAAATCTCCTGCGCATACCAGGTTGTTTCGACTCGGAATCTGGTGTAGCTTCTCTTGCAAAGCTGCCCATACCTGCTCACGGGATTGATACGTCAGAGCCGTCTTGTAATCCACGTATTGGTAGAGACTGAGAATGTCAAGGGCTCTGGAATCAAAATGGACCCGGACATGTAGTAGGCGGCCTTCGATAGGCGCATCATAGCCAATCTGCTCTGCTTGTGCCAGTCGTCTAGAGATCATCACCAAGAGGCCTCCACTTTGTGGTGTACCTGTGGCAGAGTGCACATAGCACCAATCTCGATCAGTCCACGTTGAAGAGAAGGACCAACGAGTTTCAGCCAACGTGACAATGTCAACTGGATGACTTTTGAGCCAGTGCCTCAGCTCCACGAAAGTCGCCTGTGAGAGACCTCCAGGGTTCCAATGCAGTATATTAAGCCGTCCATTTTTGGTTGCATGCCAACTCCTGGAAGCTGTGTGAGCTGTCCCGCTCTGTGTATCCTGCACTTTGTGTCGTAGAGCGGCTGGAAAATCTTGTGGTCTCATGTATCGTCCATGGTAATGGGAGTGCCCATGGATCAATGCCCGTCTACATGCACGCATGAAGCTCCGCTTGTGTACAATGGTTCTAGGCCGGTCAGGATCATTCGAGCCAAGGCCCATTGGAGGCCGTTGTCCACCGTTTGCAGGATCGTTGCAGAAAGCTTGCGTCCATGCTTCTGCTTCAACTGTGCAAGTGGAAGCACAGTAACCCTCACCCTGGCATCTCTGTCTGTCCTGTTGCAAATACCGATGCAATGTGGTCTGCTGCAAAGGTTGATGTTGCATCGTCATTGCACTGTGCGATGCCCCCGGATTTGGGACCGGGTTGCGGTCAAAAACTCTCTGACGAAGGGTCCAAACTTGCAAGCTGAAAACTGTCCAAATGATCCAAAAACAAAATGTCATCTGTTGTAGTGCCAAGGGTCACCCGGTTCAAGGGTAACGTTGACCAGCAGGAACCGGGCCCCGACCAAATAAATCGAAAAAATCTGTAGCGGACAGTCAGCTAGGGAGCCACCCCTTGTAGCCTGTTGTAAAGAAGAAAAATCAGTGGATGGGAGCAACCCCAACAGTATTGCCAGTGTCCAGCCAGTGAAGGGAGACAACCCCTATCGCAGAACGGTGCACGGACAGCAAACGCGAGGGGCTAAACGGCCACGGCGAGTGCAGGACTCCTCGTCCTCTGAGAGCGGTTCTCGCGACCGCAAAGGGCTTGTGTGTGTGTTTTTTTTTTTCCACGCACCTTTTCTGTCAAAAGTTCGCGCGCACCACGTCACATTGTTATGACGGCACTCTAATGGAGTGTCTTATTGGAGGAGTCCAGCATGCCTTGGCACAAAAGCTGAACCAGTGAGAAAGGGAAAAAGGGATTACAACGAATTCACGGCAGATGGCATTGCACGTTGAGTGCTCTTCACTTGGCAGATCAGATGAGGCTTGGGAATGGTGAGACGTGAAACTGAATTAGATTAGAGACTGGGCAGCAACAGCTTGAATTTTTTTTTTTTAATACTGGCCTTCGTGAAACTGTGGGCATCGCCTCTTGGACCAGTCTCTCCTTTTTTTTTGGGTTTTTTTTTGAAACTGGGGTCACTCCGGGTTGCGGAGGGCCTGCAAAAGCGGGGATCTACCAGCTGGGCGCTGGGTGCAAAAGGCTGGGCTCTGGTTGCCTGCTATGCCAAAATGGCAGTCTCTGCATGGGTCCACATCCAGGCACAAAAGGTCGCAAAGCCAAAAAGGCGGGAAAGCAGGCACATTGGTGACCACGGTCCGTTGCATCTGGCTGATGCTGAAGAGCAAAATGCACCTATCTACGGAAGCCGTGCATGGTGAAACTTAGTGACGCTAGTGGTGAGACATAACTGTGAGAAGTAGAAACAACAGCTTGAATTCCCCTTTTTTTTTAATACTGGCCTTCGTGAAACTGTGGGCAACTGCCTCTTGGACCAGTGTCTCCTTTTTTTTGGGGGGGGGGGATGTTAATCTGGGGTAACAGGATCACTTTGGAACACACTCTCAGGCATCACTTTAGAACACAGCCATTTTGCATCACTTCAGAACACAAAATCAAACATCACTTCAGAACACAGCCATACACACACACATCAGATTTTCTGACAGGTGCGAGACTTTGGAAGAAAAACGCGTTCCAAAGCGAGACCAACACAAAAAAACGCCTCGTATGAGAATTTTACTCGTTTCAACCATGTCATAAAGTCCCACGCCTGCCACGTAAAAGGACAGTCCATGTACAAAAGTGCCACACCTGCCACGCAAAATGAAGGTCGATGCCAAAAGGTCCCACGCCTGCCACAGAAAATGAAGGTGAATATATGAAAGAAAAGCCTTGTTGTACTTGTTGGTATCAAATCAACCAGCCCCCCTTGAACCATGACATTCATTGGTATCAAATCAACCAGCCCCCCTTGAACCATTACATTCATTGGTATCAAATCAACCAGCCCCCCCTTGAACCATTACATTCATTGGTATCAAATCAACCAGCCCCCCTTGAACCATTACATTCATTGGTATCAAATCAACCAGCCCCCCTTGAACCATGACATTCATTGGTATCAAATCAACCAGCCCCCCTTGAACCATTACATTCATTGCTATCAAATCAACCAGCCCCCCTTGAACCATTACATTCATTGGTATCAAATCAACCAGCCCCCCTTGAACCATTACATTCATTGCTATCAAATCAACCAGCCCCCCTTGCCATTACATTCATTGCTATCAAATCAACCAGCCCCCCTTGAACCATTACATTCATTGGTATCAAATCAACCAGCCCCCCTTGAACCATTACATTCATTGGTATCAAATCAACCAGCCACCCTTGAACCATGACATTCATTGCTATCAAATCCAGCCCCCCTTGAACCATTACATTCATTGGTATCAAATCAACCAGCCCCCTTGAACCATACATTCATTGCTATCAAATCAACCAGCCCCCCTGCACAATTACATTCATTGGTATCAAATCAACCAGCCCCCCTTGAACCATTACATTCATTGGTATCAAATCAACCAGCCCCCCTTGAACCATACATTCATTGGTATCAAATCAACCAGCCCCCCTTGAACCATTACATTCATTGGTATCAAATCAACCAGCCCCCCTTGAACCATTACATTCATTGGTATCAAATCAACCAGCCCCCCTTGAACCATTACATTCATTGGTATCAAATCAACCAGCCCCCCTTGAACCATACATTCATTGGTATCAAATCACCAGCCCCCCTTGAACCATTACATTCATTGTATCAAATCAACCAGCCCCCCTTGAACCATTACATTCATTGGTATCAAATCAACCAGCCCCCCTTGAACCATTACATTCATTGGTATCAAATCAACCAGCCCCCCTTGAACCATGACATTCATTGGTATCAAATCAACCAGCCCCCCTTGAACCATTACATTCATTGCTATCAAATCAACCAGCCCCCCTTGAACCATTACATTCATTGGTATCAAATCAACCAGCCCCCCTTGAACCATTACATTCATTGGTATATATATATGTGTGTGTACATGACGATGATGAATGATGAATGATGATGATGGTAATGATGATGAGGACGACAATGATGATGATGATGGTGATGATGAACCTGATGATGAGGATGATGATGATGATAAGGATGATGATGATGACGATGATGATGATGATGAGGATGAGGATGAGGATGAGGAAAACGGCAAAGAAAAAGAATTAGAAGAACACACATGATGATAATGCTGATGATGGTGGTATGGAAGCTGCTGATGGTGATAATGATGGTGGTGCTGATGATGAAGCTGATGACAGCAAGGAAGAAGCATGATGATAATGATGAGGAGGGTGATGATGATCATGATCAGGATGATCTGAAGATGATGCTGATGATGATGATGGTGACGCTAAGAATGGTGATGATGATGATGATGATGAGAGGAGGAGGAGGAGGATGACGATGGTGGTGATGATGATGATGACGATGACGATGATGATGATGATGATGATGATGATGGTGATGATGATGGTGTTGGCGGCGAGGAAGAAGAATAAATACGCAGCAGAAAAATAGAAGAAACTTGATGATGCTGCTGATGATGATCGTGCTGTTGACGATGAGGATAATGAGGAGGATGAGGCTGATGAGGAAGAGGATGGCCAAAAAGAAGAAGAAGAAGAAGAGGAATAAACGGAAGAAGAAGCATGATGCAAATGCTGATGATGATGGTGAGGAATGAAGATGAAGATGATGATGATGATGATGATGATGATGACGATGATGATGATGATGATAATGATGATGGTGAGGAGGCGCGTTCGAAAGCGATGCATGAGAGCGCGTTCCGAAGCGATCCCTCAAGACGCGTTCCGAAGCGAGGCCCTCACCTTAATCTGGGGTCACTCCGGGCTGCGGAGGGCATGTAAGAGGTCCGGGGATCTGCCAGCTGGGCGCTGGGTGCAGGGGTTGAACACAAGGCTTGCTGGGCTTCATGTATCTACCTGTTCCTCAGTGCCATCGATGAAATGGCTCAGCAAATCAGAGGCTCCTACCAACGTGGGTGCTTCAGGAGGTCGCTGTGTCGACAGGAATTGTGTCATGTCCAGCTCATGAAGCGCAACTTGATCCCATTCTCCCAACCAGAAACAAGTAATGTTCCTGATAAACCATGGTGGTTCCTTCCACACTGGCGTGGCCCGCATCCAGTCTTCTGTCAAGAGAAACATGTATGGAGTGCTCGCAGTGGCATTCATTTGAACCTTGAGCATCGTGCGACAGTGGCCTGCTGTGTCATGACCTAGGTGTGCAATGGCCGCAATGACCCTGTACGTCTTCCAGGTGATTGTAAGCCCTTCATTATCATAAAACGGCAGATCAAGACCCCAGTGAAAATTGACTGGGATATCGCACTTGGAGATTTGGCCATCACCTGAGCGTATGAGACGATCCAGTTGCACACAGACCAGTGGTGTGGGATGGAGCAGTGCGGTCATCATGCCATCCTGATTTGCACAGTCTCGCAGCATTTGACTGAGTGTGATTGTTCCATCTTGCAACATTGCAGGATCAAAACGTAGTATAAGAGGTGTGTATTGATCACTCTCATCAACAACCTCAGTGATGAGGCCAACCTGAACTCTCTTTTCCCAGCTCATGTTGATGCCTGAAAGACGCAACCCCTTCATCATGTGGGCTAGGAATTCAACTGGGTCACCCTGATTGCCTAGTCCCTGCGCCATTGTTGAAAGATGAATTGAAAACATGAAACATGAGCTAATTCAATCGGTTCATTGTCATGGCAAAGCAACATGTCGGCAATCTGGGTGGCATGAGGTCCCCAGTATTCAAGCTGAAAAGTACTCAAACTCAAATACGACCAAACCATTGTCAGGACAGCGGCATTCACATAACACCAGTTGGAGTCATTGGCCAAACGGATCCCTGCTAAGCTGTGTAGCAGTGTTTGTCGGCTTGGCCCTGCAGAGGGAGCTAGGGTTTGTCCTTGCTCTTCGATTTGCCGGAGCCCTTGCTCTTGCCCTTGCCTAGCAGCATCTGCAGATGTTGGCCCTGTTTGCTGAGATGGAGTTGGTGAGGACGGATGGTGAGGCCTAAGAGGCTCCAGACCGTACTCCCTTGCAGCGTGCTCAGAAGAACTTGGAGCTCGTCCGATCGCATCGACACTTGCCATAGCCAGGGCACCACTTGCTCTGTTGACATCGGTCTGAGACTGTGAAATTTCACAGTCACGTTGGGATCTTTCAGGATCTCTTGAAGTTGCTCTGCGTACTTCAGCATCCTCTGAAAGGTGATGGGGGCCTGGCTCGTCGGCTGGAGGCTCTGGGTGTGCTGGTTCCATCGTTGAAAAGGAAAAGCACCTGCTGGATTCAGAAGGCCAGAGCTCAAAGCCGTCTGCCTCAATGGATCGTCCTGCGCGCTGTTGCTCAGTTTCTGCAGCCTGAACATCAGAATCTCCGCCATGTGCTGAGTGAGGTGGCATCTCAGTGGGAGATGGGTGCGCTCCTGTGTTGGCTCCATTTTCACCTGCAGCTGTTTCTTCCACTCGGCTGCCTTCTGCACCAAGCACGGCAGAAGCGCTGGGGACTCGGTTTGCATGAAGCAAATCCAGGAGTCTTGACGCTTCAGAGCCTGCTGCTCTGCATCCACTTTGAGGAGCAACTGCCCCATGGCCTGCAAGATCTTGCCGGCGTCTGCGTTGACATCGTCTTTCTTGGGATTCTTCTTGGCCTTCTTGTTGTCTCTGTCGTCGTCTGGTCTGCCGTAGCGATCCCAATTCAGCAGTGGTCCCATCTGCTTGAACGTCTCCAGCATCTCTGAGTCTGCTGCTGAGTAAAGACTGTCGGCGTTCATGGTCACTAAGCAGCAGCGCCACTTGGAGCAGCGCAGGGCACTGATGCTGCAAATGAATCTGAGCCAGCAGCTGTCTGGTGTTGCGTTCTTCTGGATCTTCATTTCCATGAGCAGGATAGTTGAAAATGAGAGAGCATACATCACACTGATGTTCCACATTGTGCTCACGACTGAAGGCTTGAATGAGTTGCGGCAGCAACAATTCATGGCCATGAATGTCTGAGGGATGTGCCATGCGCAGGTGATCACGTAGTTCCGCTGGATGTAGGGTCAAACCGCACAGGAGGCATCTGGAGCGCAGTAATTGAATCATCATTGGGTCAGTCCACAAAAATGAAAAATCCCTCTGAGAAATATGTTCAATCATATGTGGCACAGCCGGATGTTCAAGTACCGCTTGCAAGAAATGCTGCAGTTGTGATTGTTCAAACGTCCAAGGCAGAAACAGCGGAAGACTCATCTTCGAAGCCATCATCCCAAGCTGCCTGACTGCAACACAAATGTGTTGAAGGCCACTGGCATTGGTCACTGGGTTGCACAGACATCCAAAAAAGCCACTGGTGTCAACTAACAGTTGAACATACATCTGTGATTCCTGCCATAGTTTTGAGTGGACAGTTTGAAGATGTAAAGAAAGATCTCCCGTCCGTTGAAATCGGGTGGCACAGAATTGGCAGTGCAAAGTGAGGGCCAACCGTTTCATTGGTGCCTCACGCAACTGAGCAATATGACCAGCAGCCAGGAGGGCCTGCCATTCAGCACTGACTGGATTTTCACTGGGAATCCTCAACGGGTCAAAACTTGGACATTGTCCCAACGTGATGTGCTGGCGTACTGCAGGTTTGTCTGCAAAAAGAGACATGCAGTGAGAGCAAACTGGATTGTTGTCGACCATATCTCGAAGCGGGTCCCAGTCCAATGGTTCCAACCGATGAACACTGTGAAGATGATCATGCAACTGTCGAAGCGCCTGAAATCGTTCTCCACAAACATCACATCTGAGAACTGCATCTCCTGGAGTGGCATAGGTCTGTCCAGTGGTGTCCGCATTGACCAGTATCAGAGCTGCTTGAGTCATCACTGGGCATTGGTGAACCCTTTTGAAACTTTTATGGCAAAACCTGCACGGTGAGTTTGCCGCCTGAGATCTGCAAAGTTGACTGGACTTCGACATCACGTGTGGCATCAGCTGTGGATGCTGCGTGCGCAGGTGAAGATTCAACTCCTGCGGTCTGTTGCTGTAGACCCCGCATAGGACACAGTGGTTGGCCAAATCAGCTGTTGCATGGGACATCTGTTGCAAGGCATTCCAATCTCTCTGTCTAATGGCATGCAGTGTGTCAACACCAAATGGCTTGGAGAGCAACAGAGACAGACTAGACTCCGTGAGCAGAGGGTAAGCCTCAGGATTGGCCGATGGCCGTCGCAGGGTCGAGCTTTGTCTGGCTCCCTGTGAAGTGGTCGTGGCCTGGCAACAATTGCGCTCAAGGTGAATCTGAAAATTACGCCAAGTGGGAAAAGATTCCATGCAATGTGAACACTGTGGCAAACCATTCACTGCAAAAGAAGCTGCTGTGACTAAATGCGTTCGGAACTGAGATCGTCCATGTACAACGGTCATGTGTCGACGCAGATTGGCCAAAGAATTGCATCTCAAAGGACAATAGTCACATTGATGTTGCACCTCCATCAGAGTCGCTGCCGGTTGTGTGACCTGAACTTTGAGCTGGTCTGTCCATGTAGTGTGGATGACATATAGCAAAGTGGTGAGTCCAATCAACTGTCCAGAGAATGTCTTGTTGTGGCAATAGATTGAGCCTGCTGCCCAACGTGTCTCTCAGTTGTCTGCCGGCATGCAAAAGTTGCTCAAGCGGATGTGACAAATGATACTGTTGAAGGATTTGAATGTGGGTGTGCCCCGTGATGTAGCTATGGTCCCCTATCATCATGCGGTACATCTTGAATATGGTTTGTTGCATCTGCATGAGGTCAGGCATAGTGAATCCCACAGCAAAAACGCCATAAACCATTGTCGAAAGTACACAGGCACGCCACATATGTAGTCTGGTGTGCAGTGGAATTTGTCGTGCACATAGCCAGCGTTTGAGTCGCATGAACGTGTGTCTTGCAGCTTGCAGTCGATGCATGGTTGTTTGCCGTTCAAACATCTGATAACTGACTGTCACTCCCAAATATCGAGCTTGAGTCTTGACCGGAAGTTTGGAGGTAGTGCCATCTGCCCGTGGAATTTCAATGTATGGTCCATGTAATCCCTTTTTGACCAGTCTTTTGATGACATCTCTGCAATTAGTGCCACTAATTTTGATTATGACATGAGATTTTTCAAGAGAGAGTACAAGGCCCATGGTTTGAATTGTATCTAACAGCAATCCTATCCGTGCAATCGCATCTGCAAGTTGTTGCTCCGAGTAGAATTCCTCACAACAATGAAGGTCGTCGGCGAACGCTGTGAGGCACCTTTTGACCCACTGCACATTGATCTCTGCAGCCAAGCGCTTGAACAGAGCAAGTGTATATGTCGACCATAATATCGGGGCTGCTCGACATCCTTGTCTGACTCCACGTCCTGTGCCTACTGAGTGCTGTTCTGTGCCATGCATAATCTCATAGGTTGTGTGACTATGCCATTGCGCCAGGATAGATATCAAGCGTGCATCAATGGGCTGTTCAGTTAAAAAGCTAAACAGTTCCTGGCGAGGAACTGTGTCGAAAGCTTTGTTTGCGTCCAATAGGACCTGTATCCCTCCTTGCACTGCTGAACTAGAGAGGTTATTGGCCCTTTGGTGCACACTTCTGCGTTGTGTGAGTTGTCGGACTCTCCAACAATGCCCAATGACTCTGCGGATGGCATCATATGAGGAGCGCATCTTCATGAAGGCCATTTGAGGCCAGGAGCAAATGAGGGGCTGTACATCAGCTGCAAATTTGGTTGTGATCAGACCCAATACACATTTGCCAACCGGCTCCAACAACGCCAACGGTCTCAAGTGATGGAGTCGGTCAGGTGTCTTGGCTGGTTTGTGGATAAATGTCAAATGAGCTGCTTTCCATTGAGACGGGACAAAAGGAGGACTCTGATTCCACCAGTCTTGCAACTTCTGAAAGACAAATCGTCCAACCATATTGGCATTTGTCCGCCAGCAAAGGCCGGGAAGACATGTCTTGGCCACAGATTTCGTGACTGGTGTGCGGGCTATTTCTGCTATCAACTCATCAAGAGTAAAAGGAATGCCAGGCGGTGGCATTGCTGGCAGAACAATTTGGGATGCAGTCTGCCATACCTCTTGGATGTATTCCTTGGTCATGGTGAGCACCTGATCCGGAGTGGCAGGCGTTCCATCATGCATACGTAGCCTGATTCTTTTCTTGGGCTGTTTGGGAGTATACTTCTGTATTGTCTGGTAGACAACAAAACTGTCATGTCGTGACGCAGCAAGCGCAACATCTTCCAGCAATGCATGAAGTTTCTGTTTTTGAAGTTTCCGCCCATACTGCTGTTGATCACGTTTCAACTTCTGAAAACGGCTCACATGAAACCAAGTAGCAAAAATAGTGCGCAGCGTTGTCACTTGTGGCTTCTGAAAAGCGGCTCTGTGCTTCCATTTGTCTCGGATTCTGCTACTCTGAATGGCATCTGGCGCAGTGTTAACATGGCTCCTAGTTGTAGGAAAATGTCTGTGAAACACTGGAAGCAAACACTCATGCATATGTTGAATTACCTCATCATCTGGATGTTCATCACTGGTGAAATGTTGAAACACTTGTGAAAACTCATTGTGAAACTGTTGCCAATTCGAGGAGTTGGCATGCCATTCTGCACGACATTGTAATCGCTGTCGAAAGGAACACACCTGCGGCTGAGACTGACGATTGTGATGGTAGGAGATTTTCCTGATGGAACATATCATCGGGTGATGTCTGGCACCTGCACATGGCAGAAAACTGGCATCTGGATACAGCTTGACATCTTTGGCCAACGCATCTGCTTCAGCGAGACGCATGATCATATGATCAATGCTGGATGTTGCCGGTGGGTTGACAAAGGTTGGTGGCAGCTGTGCATTCCAACTATTCAACACCGTTAGGTGATGTGTTTTCAAAAACTCCATGAACATGTGCATATCTTGATGTTGTGTTCCCCGTTTCAGGTTTGGTCCCCACCTGTGTTTGTCAGTGCCAGTATATGGTGGCAAGTGATGTGCACTGCAGTTGAAGTCACCTACAAAGAGCACACTGTTTCGTTTTGGCAGTGCAGAGGCTTGTTGATTCATCAGAGTCCAAAACGTCTGGCGTTTGCCATTCCGAAAATTGGCCTGGTTGGCAGTATACTGATAGCAGCCTACAATGTCCAAGGCACGATTTCGAAAAAAGATCCTGAGGTGGCCAATGCGTCCAGGCAGCACGGATGCAAATCCGATTTGTGCTGTTGTGCATACATTGGTGCGGATGAGAAAAAGCAATCCATCTGATCTGTCTGCTTCTGTTCCGGAATGGATATGGTGCCATTTGGCATCACTCCAGTCATTTTCATAGCACCACCGTGTTTCAGACAGCAGAAGTACATCCAGCTCGGCATCGATTGCCCAAAGTTTGAGCTCTTGAAGGCGATCACTCGAGAGTCCACCAACATTAACATGACCAACCTGTAATCGATGCCGCGGGGCAAATGCACGCGGCTGCTGATGCTGTTGGCGTGGTGGTGTGGCCCTTACCGAACGCTTGAGACCCTTGGGAAATTGGTCAACAGTGTAACAGTGGCCTCTATACCACGTCCATCCAGCTCGTTGTGCTCTATTGAAGGCTCTTTTGTAACTTCTTTTCTGTACACTGGTGAGTGAGCGCAGGGCTGGTAGACAGTCCTCATGGCCGTAGCCCATTGGTGGTGCTGTGTCATGTGCATTCGCCTGCAAAAGTTGAACCATGGCAGGAGCATCGTATTCAGCTTCCATCCTAGTCCATGACATACTAGGATTACCCTCACCCCCGGACTGCACATAGGGAAACATCTGGGTAGTGCAATAGAAAAAGAGACAAAGAGGCAACAGGAGTCCTAGATGTCTGTGATGTTTGGGTGCAGTCCGCCCGGACTTGGGACCGGGTACGCGGCAAGTGTTGGTAGGGTTACGGGAACAATGGCAAAGGCAAAAGGAATGGACAAACAATAGTAGTAATATGGCACTTGGGAGATGAAATTGAAACTTGGTAGTCCACTTAATTATTTGGTGCAGACTATGGGTAAGGGTCGGCAAAGTGCAGCTTGACAGAATCAGTTCAAGCGCACTGCAGCACTGGGTGGACGCATCCACTTGTGTCAATGCACAACACACTGTATATGCCTTACCCAAAAATCGGGTTCCCCACCACAAGCTGGCACAAAAGACGCAAGGGAATGTCCAGGTCCAAAGATCACCAATTGTCTGTCCAGAAAAATATCGGCTGAGCTGGGAAAAACTCTTGATGTTGGTGGCCCCACTGCAGAAAGCCCACAGAAAATGAAACAGTGTTGGAAAAATTAAAGATGTCACAACAGCAATGAAAAAGACAATCCACTCGCAAACAATCCGGGTGATGCCCACAGTCACGCTGAGCAGTATCCAACTGAAAATCCAGATGGTAGCAGCACAATGAGAAATTCTCAACGAAGGACAAAAATTGTATTGGGATTGGACCCCACTGCAGAAAGTCCGTGTCAGAAACAGTGTAAATAAAATGTTGTGTTGTGATCTGCTGATCTGAAACCTGCTATCACAGTTCAACTTCCCACCCAGTAGTGCTGGCGCTCTGATGGATGTGTCGTCAAAAGGTCGATCAGCAATGGGCCGTGAGCTCAATGAAAAGAAAATCCAATGCAATATTCTGTATAGGAAACCAATGAAAATGCCAGAATGTTCCCTGCTTGTTGAAGTCGTCGTGATGTCAACAGTCGTGTAGGCTATGGCGACACCAAGGAGTGGAACGCTGGGGCATACAAACAGCTACCCTGTGGTTCCTCACCACTTGACCGCTCAGGGGCTTGTGTGCGTGCGTGCGTGCGTGCGTGCGTGGGTGGGTGTGTGTGTGTGTGTGTGCGCGGGCGTGCGGGCGTGCGGGCGTGCGGGCGTGCGGGCGTGCGGGCGGGCGGCGGGCGTCGTGCGTGCGGCGTGGGTGCGTGGGTGCGTGGGTGCGTGGGTGCGTGCGTGCGTGGGTGCGTGGGTGCGTGGGTGCGTGGGTGCGTGGGTGCGTGGGTGCGTGTGTGTGTGTGTGGGTGTGTGTGTGTGTTTTTGCTCACACACCTTTTGCATCTGCACGAAAGGTTTGTGCCAGCCATCAGCGTTTTGCTGGTACCCTTGGTGGGTAGCACTTGGCTGAACCATCGCATATCTATGCCTCTCACGTTACACTTCTCGATTTGTGCCGTCAGGCATTTCTGAAGTCATCTGGAGAAAAATAATCGTCTGGAGAAAATCAAAGAGCCAATCAAAAAGGATCAAAATCATCCAAGGCATCACTGTGGAATGTCGGATGGTGCCATTGCAGTTGAGTCAGGTCGCAGCAATGCCAGGATCTGTTGTGTCGGGTCAACAGCTTCCTCAACTTTGGCAAAATCAGGAAAGTACTGTGGGATTTGAATACAGTCTGATCGAACCAACCACGCAATCGTCATGTTCTGCATGAAAAGGTCTGGGGCACGCCATATGGGACTGGGACGTTGGTTGTCCTGTGTCAGCAGCCATTTGGCCGGCTTGGATTCCTGTGTCACCACAGGTTGTATCTTCAGGATGGCCTGGTAATGGCCTGCAGCATCCTGTCCCAAATGTGAGGCAGCAGCAATGAGAACATAACTGACATGCTCCTGTTCCAACGTGGCATTGCAAAACACCGGAATGGTGAGTTCTGATTCAATGTCAATTGCACAACTGCTTTTCTCGATCTGGCCATTGAGTCCCTCATGAAGTCTGTCCACGTGCAGGCAAAGCAAGGGTGCAGCCCTAATGAGTGCCGCTTGCATGCCATAAGCCTGGCACCAGTGCAGGATAAGTTGGTCAAATTTGCATGAAGGACCCAGGGCAACTGCAGGAGGAAATTGCAGAAACAAAGGCATATACGTGTCTCCTTGGTCCATACATTGCACTCGGCCTTTTTGCTCACAGCGGCGCTCCCAGTGCATGTCAATCACTGGAGAGGTCATCCAACGCAGGATGATGTGAACAAATTCCCCACAATCTTGTTGAGCTTGTGGGCGGCCCCAGTTGTCAAGCACTTGTTTGAACCACTGTAAGTCAGCCAAAACAACAGGAGAATTCCAGCTATCAAGGATCGTTTGAATAAGTGGTTCAAAATGCTTGCCCCAAGATTCAGTGTCGGCAACGGGCTGGCAAAGGAGTGCCCAGAATAGGCAATGCACCGTCACGTTTGCAAAACACCAGGTGCTGTCATTGGCAAGTTGCATGACTGCGGTCAAGGAGCGCAACCGGTGGATCTCATCAGAGGTCATGTGTCGGTTGACTTGGTCTTGGATTTGCCCTTGCCACGGCCCTTGCCTGGTGCATTCGGCATCAGCTGCTGGAGTGTGCTTACCAGGGAGCTCTGTTTGGGAACGTGTGGCTTCAACGTCGTTCCCGCCAGCAGCCAGATTGAGGAATGCGTCAGAGAGGCCATCAGCTCGTAGGGTCTGTCGCTTCTCAGATTCAATTGAAGCTTCCATGGGATTGCAGACTGAGGGTTGGTCATGGGGAGGCCCTGAAATCTGACTACCAGAGTCGGATCCCACATGTCCCCGCCCAGTTCCTCCAAGTGCTGGAGCATCTTGACCATCGACACCGCCTTCTTCTTGTCGATAATCAGGGCCTTTGTGGAGGGATCCCATTTGAGAAAAGGCCAACTCATGTCCTCCAGCAGCAGTTTCCTGTCCATGCAGGCCTGGAGCAAGGGGGTCCCCCACTTTGCACTCTGAGACTTTGATGGCCCGGGTCTGCAAGTCCTTCAGGAACCACATACAAAGGTGTTGTCTGAGGGGACTGGTCACCTCCGTGGGGTTCTTCTTGCGAAGCTGCTGCCAATGTTGGGTTTCCTGAAGCATGCCCTGGAGACTGCCCGCCTTGTCCTGCTGGAAGTACAGTATGAAAGAGTCTGTACTTTGCAGCAAGTTCAAGCTGCGCTCGTGTCGCAGCGCCAGTTGGCCCAGGACCCGCAGGTACTGCAGGATCTCCTTCTGTTGTTCTCGTCCTGGTGGATCGGGATCGGTCTGGTCTGCCTTGCCCTCGGTTCTGCGTTGTTTCATTGCCCTGGGGTTGGGTGGAAGCTTCAAGCTCTTGTCGAAGATCGGCGCTAAGAACTGAAAGGTTTCTTTGATCTCGCCCAGTGCCATCTCGTCCCAGCCATTCATAGCCGAGTCTTCCTCCATTCAGGGCGGTTCCCAACAGCAAAGCAGTTTGCAGAAGGACTGGGCAGTTGCCACGCAGATGGATCTGAACCAACTGTTGTCTGGCTGCAGTGGTGTCAGGCTCGTCAGATGGACACGGGAGATTGAAGATCTGGCCACAAAAATCACATTGATAATCGGACTGCATCATGTGCTGAAAAACAGGCAGCAATGTGTCACTGTAGAAGTCTGCAAATTGGTGCCCACATGTGTGTGATTCATGCAAATGGCGACTCAAAAGTCCAGGCAAGTGCGCCTGTCCACACATGATGCAAGCATGGCTCAGCATCTTCTTGACCTCTGCGTCTGTCCACATGTCACTAAACTGTCGGTCAGCAAAGAGTTTGGTGAGCCTGAATTGCATTGGCCTGGGAATTGAGGGGTGGACCAGCTGATGCAGAACCTCTTCCGTAACTGGAATGGGCATGAAGGGCACCTGTTCCAACCTGATGTACATCATGGCAATCTGACGCAGAGGAAGACAAATGTGATTTTGTCGGACCTGATGTATTTGCGGGTTGCAAACACAGCCCAGACGGGCAAACACAAGTTCCACCAAAACCAAAGTGAGGCTTTGTGCCTGCCTCCATAACTTGGCATGACTGGTCATCAGGTGGTTTGCCAGGTCTCCAGCCCGGGTGTAAACCTGCTGGCATTGGCTGCACCGTATGGTCAAATGGAGCCGTGTCATGGGTGGCTGCAAATAACTGAACATGGTTCCATGGAGGCAGAGGTCATGCCATGCCTGGGGAATGGGTACCGTCTCTGTCTCTGCTGCCGGGTTGAATTCAGGGCATCGTCCCTGCACTATGTGGGACCGGAGTCCTTCAAGTGAGGAGTAGATCTTGCCGCAGTGGGCACATGCCGCCTGTCCATCCAAACTGTCTCTGGCAACGTTGAAACTCACTCCAGCAATCTTGTGAACACGTTGTAAATGTTGAATAAGTTGTGCAGAGTCATTGAACAGCTCAAAACAGACATCACAGCGGTGAATGGCCTCCAGCTGGGTCTGGATCTGTACTGGCCCTGGAGTCGCCAGTCCTCCACCGTGCAAAACAAGGATTGCCATCTGAGCCCAGATCGGGCATTGGTGTGTGCGAAAACCACTGCCGCAAAATTGACAAGGTGAGTCAGTGCAGTATTGGTTGCACAGCATCCTAGATTTGGCAGGCACGTGGGTCCAATATTGTGGGTGTTCTGTGCTGAGGTGCCAGTGCATGTCCTGGATACGGTGAGCATGCTGACCACACAAGAAACAGAACTTGCAGAGGTACTTGCACGCTTCCGGTTCCTGCTCGAGTTGGCACAGGCGGTCATCGGCAATCATGCCAAGCACACGCTGTCCCCAGGGTTGTGCCAGGAGGTTACTGAGATCTGCATCATTCAGCATCACTAGGCCTCTAGCAGAGGCAGCAGCAGTTGGAAGCTTGAGGCTCGAGGTCATGGTAGCCTTCAATGGGATTCCAGTGCAGTGTGCAGGTCCAAGGAGAAGGGCCTGACAGCCGCGTTCAATGTGAATGCGGAAGCTTCTCCAAGTGGAAAATGAATGATGGCAGTACTTACATTGGGGTAGACCGTCAGTGCAATATTCATGCATGGATATGTTGAAATGCCTGTACATCTGGGTTCCATGTTCAACAGTGCAGTGTCTACGGAAGGCAGAGACATGGTCAGTGCAAAATGAACACAACCTGCAATGATATTGCAGTTCCGATCCCTGGACCTCACCAGAGAGGGCAGTCTCGACACGTCGTCGAGCCAGATCAGCCTGAACTTCTGCAATTTGAGTTCGAATGAGGGCCAGGTGGTCCCAATTCAGCGTCCGTGCCAAATCATCTGCTTGCAAAAGTGATTCCCGCTGAGTCAATGACCTTTGGAATGAATCCACAGCCGCCGTAAGCAAGGCAGCCGGTCGCGGCAATGCAAATGCTGAAAAAACTTGTTCATGTGAATTGCCAGTGTGATGTGGGTGATCCCTGACTATCGTCCGCAACATAAGGCCAATTTGGGTGATCATATGTTGGATACCTTTGGGAGTGGTTCCTACCGCAAAAACACCATATGTCATGATGGGGAGGATGCAACAACGCCAAAGCCGTACCCTTTGTTGGATCGAAAAATGAGTTCTGTTGCAAAGCCAGCGTCTGAGTCTGGAGAAGCCAGCACGTGCAAGTTTCACTCTATGCCATGTGGTGGAATCTGCAAAATTATGATAGCCAATGACACATCCAAGATAGTTGGCACTCTTTTGTACAGGTATCAACATCACTGTGGCATCTGGAAGCTGGATTTTGATCTGCTCACCTTTGTGATCACGCTGGGTATGAGCAGCACGTGCTTTCCGGCCCAGGTGGCCACGCATGCAAAGGATGGCAACTGATTTTTGCGGGCTGATCGTCAGGTCAAACGCATGAAGCAAAGAAAACAACTGGCCAAGAGCATGTAACAGCAAATTGAATTCTTCAACATTTGTAAAGACACCTCCAACATGACAATCGTCCGCGTAGATCGTGAGGTGCGTGCATATCCAATCCAAGGAGACAGTGGCTTGGAGGTCATGCAGCAAAAGGATAATCATGCAGTTCCATAAATATGGTGCACCTTTACATCCCTGCCTCAAGCCACGGTTGACCTTGACTTCCACGCATTCTCCACCATGTGTTACAAAGTATGAAGTGTCAAAGTGCCATCGTTGGAGTAGTTGGATCACTGCTTCATCAATTTGTAATTGGTGGAGTCGACAAAACAATTTGGTCCTATTAATAGAATCAAATGCCTTATCTATGTCAATGAATATCTGTAGGCCACCAAAGCAAGAATATTGTGGGATTTGCGCAGCACGAGAATGCGGGGTCGATTTTTGGGTGTCAACCAGAGTCTGAATGTCACGACAGTGGGATGCCACTTTCAGCAGGGGGTCTTGCGTCGATCGCTTCGGCATGAAGGCCCAAATGGGCCATTTTCGGAACTCACTTTCGGTCTGTTTGGATGCAATTCGAATAAGCAGGCCCAAAACAGCCTTGCCCAAAGGGCATTGGATGGCTAACGGTCGGAGGTGTTGGGGTCTATTGGGAGGTTTATTGGGTTTAGGGATTAATTGTAGCCAGCCTGATCGCCACATGGCAGGGATCCAGGGATTACGGTTACTCCACCATTGATTAAGGATCTCATGCAAAATGGGTGCAATGGTGTCTGTGAGTTCCAAATGCAACCTGGAGCGCGAGGCGGCGCCACTGCTTTGACAGTGGGAATGTCCCTCAGTGCTCCTGCAAGTTCTTGGACCGTAAACGGCACTCCTGGAGGAGTATGACAAGGGCGCAGGGTCATGGGGTGACCATGCCATGTTTGTCTGACATATGCAACAAGCATACTGCGTTCCTCAGAAATGGTCATCAGGGCACCAAGATCATTGCGAAGCTGCATCCTACGCATGGGGGTCTTGGGAGCAAATCGATTGATGATGTCAAACATTTGGTGAGTGTTGTGTTGCAAGGCAGCTTGGTTGGCAAGTTGAACGACCTCCTCAAATCGTTGGCGTCTCTGTTTCTTTGCAAACCTGCGGTGTGACCTTGTGAGCATCTGATACTTGGCAATGTGAAACCACGCATGAAAACAGCCATGTAAATCACAGGTTTGAATCTGTCGTGCATGTGATCTGTGTGCCCATTTGGTCAATACAACTGGGTTGGTTTGCCAGGGGTCAGATGAACTGATAGCACTGACAGGAGGGAAAAACCGTGAAAAACTTTTGATTGCAGTTTCATGCACTGTGGAAAGCTCAGGTTCAGCTAAGGTCAGCGCCCGTCGAAACTGTTCACAAATGGCATCTTCAGAACCAGCAAGAAATTGGCGCCAGACCGCATCTCCAGTCAGCTTGGCAAGACGTCCACAGCGTTTCTGGTGTGGGGTCAGGCCATTGGCAACATGATGTGAAGGTGGCACCCAGTACTTAGCCAAATGGCAGACCATAGGAACATGGCCAAATTGGCCAGGAGGCAAAAAGGGGGCCTCCCACAAATACTGAACTTTTCGTGCAAGTCCATCAGCCAATTGCTTACGTGTACAAATGAAATCAATCCTGCTAGCGCATCCATTCTGAATAAATGTCGGGCCCAATGAGGAGTCCCAAGTATTCAGGGCAACCAACCCTCCAGAGCGCAGGATTTGTGCAAACCTGTCAGTGTCAGAATGTTTCAGGCCTGGCATCAATTGTTGATTCCATCTGAAAAAGGACGTGCCACAGGTTCCAGAGTTCTCCATCAGGGAACAATTCAGGTCTCCAAGGACTACAACAGTGTTCCGGTTCGGTATTTGTTGGAGCTGATGGTCCAAAGCCGTCCAAAATCTTTCACGTCTCTGCAAGCAGCCTTTATCCCTAGCAAAAACATGCTGGTAACACCCTAGGATATCAATGTTCCGTGTTGACATGTGAAGGCGTACATGAAGGAGGCGCCCTGGAACAATGTCATTCCATCGCAGGGTGCTGGCATCACAGAGGGCTCTGGCAACAAGAATCAACACACCGGAACCACGATGGTCAGGATCTGCACTGTGGATATGGTGCCAGGATGTATCGCTCCAGGTGGAGCAAAAGTTCCATCTGGTCTCAGTCACCACTGCAACTTGGATCTGCTGCTGAAAAAGCCAACATTTAAGCTCATCCAATCGGTGGTTGGATAGCCCTCCTCCATTCCAAGTCAGGCACGTAAGGCGTTTCCTAGGAGCATTATGCTTATTGCATGTTGCCAGGTTGGTTGGTGTCATTGGTGGCAGTTCAGTATTCAAGGGGCGCATCCCCATTTTGACGAAATCCTCTGGAGTAAGGCAGCGCCCACGGTACCAGGCCATTCCACTGCGATGAGCCCGTTTTTGTGCTCTTTGGAGGCTTCTCTTGACTACTGGAGAGGATCGAAGGGTCAGCACAACAGGCGTGCTTGCGCACATCGGTGGCTGCGTGCCATGTAGCTTCACGTCAGGTTTGTGAATGAAATGGTGTGTCCAATCAGTGGACGTTTCAGCACTGTCCATGGCAACAGTGCAACCCTCGCTCCTATCAGATCCTATGCAACTGGGTGCCTGCAGGCAATGCCAAACGCAGATGAAAAACAGTAAAAACACAGGGATCCGATGCCTGGACTTGGGACCAGGCTTGCAGTCTTTGGACCAGGTTCGAATGTCAGCGCCGTCGCACAGTGCAGCTATCCACAGCTTCCCAATCAAAAGAAAAAGAAAAGTTCCTTGCCACAAAATGAAATTGAAGGCGTTCACACTCTGCCAGTGCCAGTGCAAAATATTGCTGAATAGGGTCCACACAAGGGGCAACCGTTGAGCCAGCAGGTGTGGAAGCCCAAACGTAAATGAAAAATGATCGCCGTCTGCCACGTTCAAGTTGAAATGTCGCAAGAGATCCAGAAAATTATTGATCCAGGCCAGTGAAAAATGGAAAAGGGAGCCCACCCCTATATAATCCTCAAATGCAAATGTAAAATGAAAAGACACAATCCAGGCCAGTGAGACACAAAAACGGGAGCCCACCCCAATCTGTTGTATAGCTCGTGTGGAATGCAAAATATCAGCACCTGTGGAGGGAAATTCAACCACCAGAGAAAGCCTCAATGCATCCAAGTCAGCACCTGTCTCCAAAACAGAACAATCAGATTGGGAGTCCACCCCACCGTGTAGCAAGCAGCCAACTGTATCTGTTGTATGTTGTATGCCAAGGAGCCAAGAATTTGTTGCTGTCTTCACAAGGCCAGTCAGTAAGTGTCGGGGGCCTAATCCGCAGAGTGTGAAGACAGCAGCAGTTCTTCCGTCAATAAGGGTGTGAATCAGCCTATGCTGTTGTACCCAAATGCAAGGATCCACACGACCCCACCAGTGCAGGCCAGGAAATGAAAAACTGAAACCCTCCTTGCAGTTGCTCGGATGGAAAATAAATCTGTCGTATCCACACCAGTCGCTAGGAGCCCAGTCCCTGTAACTGGAATCTGTCAATGCAAAATGACAAGGAGCGCCAAACAGCTGTGATTCGTTGAAATTACTGTGGGGGATACAGCCCAGGCCAGCCAGTGTGTGGTAGGAGCCTACCCTACAGAATGGCTGGATCCCCTTTGTGTAAACTGCAGCACTGTTATGATCCAACTGTCCAATCGCCGGTTGCCACCAGAAATTCACCAGGCCAGAAAATGATAGGGAGCCCACCCCTTGATGGTTGTGTGCAGATTCAGTTTGAAATGTTGTCAAAAGTCCAGGCAAACACAGCAATATTAACCAAAGGAAATAAAAAATGGCACAGGAATGAGCAATCGTGGTTGCAATCCAGCAGGCCAAATGATGGCCAAATGAAATCAAATTGTCAGTTGTGAAAACGCCGCGGGCCAATGAAGTCACAAGCCCAGGTGGATGTCGAAAATAAACAAATGGAATGGCCAGGGCAGCACAGCGCAATCAAATGGCAAGGAGTAAGACAAATAGGAACCAATGCGGGGGGAAGCAACAGCGTAGCTGTCAACGCGCTTGAGCGCGGTCCGGATGACCGCAAAGGAGCTTGTGTGTGTGTGAGAGAGAGAGACCCCTTTGACTGCTAGTCAGAAGGCTGAGCCCTTGCACATGATTTTTTCATGCGGCCTAGCACAGCTGAGAATTTCGTCCGCCTCAGTGTGTCTAGGACTTCCAGACTGGTGCCCCGTGAGGCTATCTGGCACGGTGCCCAAAAGTTTTCACTGGTGATTGTTAGTGAAAACAGGCTGTGTGTGTGTGTGGGTGTGTGGGTGTGTGGGTGTGTGGGTGTGTGGGTGTGGGTGCTAGTGCATATGATTTCTTTTAATCCTACGTCTGTACGAATGGTACACTCCTCAAAAAAAGTATCAAATAGTCACGTTTTGAAAGTTTTGAACATGATGTTATTGTTGGATAGGATATTGGTTTGATATTGATTGATCTACTTCTACCTCTGCGGCTACAATCATTCTGCTCCCTGCCTGCTTTGTGTCTGAAGCACCAGGAGTCTGGATTCCCGGAACGAGTGGGCTTGAGGCTGGATCCTGTCACTCAAAACCCGGAGACTAATAGACTAATCACATAATGTTGACAGACTGGATAGCTGTAGGATAGCGTAGGATGGTGTAGGATGGTGTAGGATGGTTTAGGTTCAGGAGGTAAATAAGGACAGGCTTGTCCTCGCCTGAAGTTTCCTCGGTGACTTTGGCCCAACAATAGGTTGTAGAGATGTCAAGACCCTGTTAACCCAAAAGGTTATTTCAAATCAAACGAAGAAGTCCTCAAATCCGAGCTTGTGAATTAATCAGACTGAAACGAAAACACCCTGAATCGAGGTTGCAATTGTTTCAATCAGAATTTGATGACTGAACTTCATGTCTTTGCATTGACTATCATGACTTAACAAATCACATGCGCACACATACACACCCTCAAACAGATCAATCAAACATCGACAAACATCAATCCAGCTCTGTATTCCAACAGCGTATAGTTTCACGCCCCTTGGGTTGTTCACCCATTTTCCGCGTTCAATGTCTTTACCACCGACGGACGAAACCAACATTGAGACACACATCTGAAACCACATGAAACCTCAACAAGGCATACTTCCTACATGTCTTGCGAACAGTTCGATTGTTCCTGCTCTGGGATTGCTCTTGCAACAAGCCAGTAACTGGGACGTACTGTAGCGTTTACCATCAGGACTGGCTGCTTAGCTAAACGTACATTGCATCAAGGGGCAAGCTGTTTGAAAACTGGGATTTTGCTTTGCCATCATGGCATTTGCCATCAGGGACAGAGGTCTGTGGTGAGTTATTTACAACGACCGGGACGTGGCATTTACCTCAAAGGACAGGCCCTTTGACAACTGGGACGTCACCCTTGTGATCAGCAGCAAGCTATTTGATAAACAGGTAACTTCTAAGCTTAACCTCTTTGCATGTGGGCGCTCATGTCCAGCCTGCACTGTACAGCAGTTCCCTCCTAGCGGTTCCTCCTGCCGCAGCCCTGCAAACACCTAGAAGATTAGCGGAATGCCAGACAGAATAGACGAGCAAACGTTGAATGGCAATCCATCGCAAGTCTCCTTGATGTCGTTGCCCTTCACCAAAATGAAGTCGGTGCACGCCTGGGAGAAGGAGTTCAAAACAAGAACAGCCTGAGAAAACATAGCTGCGAGAGAGAGAGAGAGAGAAGAAAAAAAACATCGGCGAAAACATCGGGTGAAAAAGGACTCCAGGCACGCCTTTGTGGCACTCTTGGCATCCGTGCCGGCCTGGCGCTGCGAAGGCACACGATCGAAACATGTAAGGCACGATCAGTACAGTACTATTTGACAAATGTCTTTGACAAATGTCCATCTACTTTCGAAAGTGATGGAAATCCCATGAGATCCAGAGCAAGTGGTGTTTGAATGTTTCCGCCAACACAGTTTTGTGAAATGTTTGCCATGTTTTGTTTCCACAAGGTTCAATTACCGCCACACTGTTCCTCGGCCTCTTCAACAGCCAAGGCACAGGCCTCAACCTCCTTCACCTGCCAAAACTCACAAAACTCTTGGCAAAAGAGTTAAAAATGTTTCAACATTTCACTGCAACTCAATTTCACTGCAGTCTATTGAATAGGTTTGTCAGTCATACATCTCTCCCGAAAAGTTCAGAAACAAATGGTCGGTCCCGGAGTATTGCTGTACAGTATCTTGCTTGTCTCAAACGGGGCAGGTTGGCACTATCCTCGATCTTGTCACAAAGTGGAGCAGAAAGGTCCTGATCAGCAAAGTTCGTAGGGCTGCGTGCTCTTCCTGCAAAGGGACTAAAATATGTAGTTAAAGGTTTTCAGCAATTTGCATCAATTTGCAAATTAAATGAAATAAGTCCTAAAGGGACAAGTATCTTGACAGGGCGGGTAGAGCTGCAGAATGCGGCGCCAGTGTGAAGTGACTTGAAAGTAAGCCTATTCCGACCATCCCCTAGTCCTTCAATCTTTCGATCGATGCTTCTGCAGCGTCCACGAGATCACTGAGCTCCTTGCTGATCAACAGGAAAAAGATGGAAAAAATATGAAAACAGGAGGTTCATGATGCTGCGTACATCACCCTAGTCTCTGCATAAGCTTTGCACGTTTGTTGATACGCTGCACGGCACCCATATTTTGCGCGTTTGATCAACAAAGAAATGAAATGAAGTAAAATGTCGTGCAGCACGAAGGATCTTGAAAGATCTTGCAAAATCTTAAACACAAATGGTCATGAATAAGGGTCCAGTAATGGCTGTAATAAATTCGAGTTGAATTCCAGTGGAAATCGAAACTGCTCCTCGCCTTCAAGAGCTCGTCCGTTCGTGCCTGCTGCTCTAAGCGTTTCTTCTCTTCAGCTTCCTTTTTGTCCTAAGCATCACCGCGTAACAAAGCTCGCAACAAAGCAGGTAACAAAGCACCCCAAACCACAGCAGGGAATGTAATGAACTGAACCTGCGGAAATTTAGAAGGCTGCAACATGCTGGGTTTGCCGGGGGGGTTTGCCGTGAGTCGGAATGAGTTTGCAAGAAGGGTAACATATGTTAAGATCATGTATGTCCATCCGCAGCCGTTTAGTAGGAGGAAATTTCATGGTATTTTCAGTGTTTTTCATTGGTTTCACATTAGCATTTGCAAGATGTTTGCATGATAAGGGATGATTGTTTGAACCAGGTTCATGTTTTGCGAACAAGATTTTTTCGCGGGATCCCGCGGAAAAATTAGCAGGATTTTTGAACTTGTGATTTGTTGGAAAGAGAAATAAAGTTGTGTGTTTTATTGGAACAGCATAATTAGATTTCCTTCGGAGCCATGTTGAGTTTCGATGAATTGTTCGAATGTTTGGTGCTATTGTTCGAATTCCCCCCCCCATGTTTTTGTTTCGAGCTAATACCTACAGAGGTACATGCATGAGTATTGAGCACATTTATATGCGCCCTTCAAGGCTCAAGAGGTATATAGAGTAACCCTGTGGACAAGCACTGACCGGCAACAGGCTGAGAGTAAAATAGTGCTGTCATTGGGGAAGACGCCTTAGCTGATCTTGAAGTAGACGCTAGGGCCCCTCTTCACCCCACCCCCCAACCCCCCCCACCCCCCCACACCCCACGGACAGCTATTCCAATGTTGGATAATGAGTTCTATGGAACGCAAACTGCCTGAACGTTATTACTCCCCCCCCCACCCCCCGCACCCCCCACCCACTGGTCACGAGCTCAGAAACCTTGTTTGCTTCGGCAAACCCCTACGGTTGACCCAACATGCTGCAACATGCTGCAACTACAACGACTGTTGAAATTGTTGAAATGCATGTCCCACGCCAGGCTCCCCAACCAATTCTTTTTGCCGCTGCTCTTTGATGCTATCTATTCTCTTAGTAGCTTGTTCCAAGCCCTTCCCACTTTCCTAACAAACGCTTTTTCATGGCTGGAATGTCAGTTGTCTAAAACGTCAAATCCGTCCGGTACGATCCCATAGGCGCCATAGGCACATTCACAACTTCACAACTGTTTACTGTTTCGTTCTTGCAGTTCTCGCCTCTTTGATTCGTTCTTTTTGGCTTCCAGTGTTTTCCAGCTCAACCTCGAGGATCTCCTGAGTAAGGCAGAAAGCACTCAGGAAAAAACCGCCATCGTCTCTTTCACACAGTTCACACACATACTTTTGACATTTGACATCTTGTAACAATATGTAACAATCACAGCACTCTGTGAGCGGCGCCTGAAGTTCCTTTTGAACCTCCGCGAAGGTCTCGGGCGACGCTAGTCTAACTTTCTGAATCACCCTGTGTCCAAGGCAGCAAGAGCTGAATCAAATCACATCTCACTTTGTGCACTATGTGCACCAGAGTGTTGCAGTAGTTTTCCAATAGTTTACCTGTGGATTTGCATGAGATTGCATCAAGCTGCATGCTTCATCCTGTTTCTGCCCCGCTTTTCCCAGTTTGCACTTTACAATTTCTTTATCGTTTTGCCATTGTCGCTCTGGCACCTTCTGATCGCCAAAGTCGACCTCTGCTCTTGTCTTCGTTTCTCTTCTAAATCCTTCTTTTGCTTTGCTGCCTCTAAGAAAATATGCGCAGAAAATATGTAATTCTTCAAAAGCCACAACATAAGGTAGTACCGTAGCGAGTAGCAAAACTCACAATACGCAACTTGAGGCCAATGGGTGAAAGAGGGGTGTGTGACGAATTGGGAGATGCAGTACGAAGTGGAGAGTACGTCTCATGATACTGATGATCCCTATAATGCTGACGGCGACGATGCTGATGATGCTGCTGATGCTGATGATGCTGACGGCGACCATATGGCGACGATGACCCCAGTAAGGATTGAGCCATGGCAAACTGTCTGTGAAAAAGCCAGGGCGGGGTAGCCAACTGTGAAGTTTAATTAATCGATTGGCGATTCCAGCCCCTGCCATTACCTTGCTAAAGCAAGAGGGACTTCAGCTAGCAGAAGCTAGCTCTCGGGATTTAAATGATTTAAGTATAATCATGTCCAATTTTCATACATACTACTGCACCATATCGTACTGTCACGCAATTACAGTGTACGTTATTGCCTCTTCCTTTTGCTTTTGTTCCTGCTCTTTCTTCCTTATTGCCTCCTGCGTCAGAAAGTTAAGCTGTGGGCCAGAAACCAAGACGTGGCGCCAGAGGCTACCACACTCAACTACATGCATATCATCCGCTGCAGCGTCTTTGCTTCTCCTCTTCCTTTCGCTTTGCTGCGGCTTTCTTTTCTTCTTCAGCGTTTTTCCGCCGCTGCTTTGCATCCTTGGAGCCATGGGAGGAGAATTAGGAAACAGAAATATGAAGCACGTCAGCTGAGCTGAAGTTGTTTGATCTCCACTCTGGCCGAAGCTGTCCTCTTCCTTTTTCTTTCTGTCGGCTTTGGTGTCCTGGATATCGGCAAAAAAAAATTAAGGTCCAAATGGGTCAGACTGAAGGCAATCACAATTTGTGTCAGTGAGAATTTTGGAGCTCAGTTTAGGAATCATTAAATTTTGGATATTATTTGTCTTGAAGGGCAAAGATGGCCAAGGTGGCCAAGCCGCCTCTTTTCTTTTTCTTTCCGGACTTCTCCGCTCGGCCTCCAGCTCACAGCAAGCGCCAAAAAGTAGCACTCCAGCACTGACCCATCTGTCACCCTGTTTCATCTTGTTTCATCTTGTTTCATCTGTCAAGCAGCCTGCGGTTCATATCCGGGCACGCCGTACCTGTCTAGCTTGTTGTCAATTTTTGGGGAGATTGACAATAGCAAATAATCCAAGGTGAAGAAACTGTGCACAAAGAACAAAATGAAACAAACACGGCTTTTCGCTGCCTAAACTGAACCCCTCTGGAAGCTCTAGTGGAGAACTGACAACACACGGGGGCACCCATACACTGGAGGCAGGCCATATGCCTTGGACGAATTTGGAGGAGGGGAGAATTTTGGAATCTCTGAACTGAGATTTATTGAGATGTACTGTAGATGTACGGAGATATGCTGAGATACTAAGGCTTCCACAGGAGCGGGGCCATACCCATATGGCACCGGCCTCAAGCTCCGTTTCTGTCTTTAAGGCATCGGCATCGGTTTCACGATGTCAGTCTTGGTCAGTCTGATTTGTTGTGGTCACCCTGGTCATCTCGTCTCAATGCTTTTTCCGGGCATTCTGTAAGCAAATGACTGAGGCATGCCAGAGGCAACCTTGGACAGTGGAATCGCAAGGTCATTGTTGACTATCTGTACACAGTTTGCATAACATCTGTCCCTACCAGCGAAGCAACCACAAAGTCGGCAATCTAACGTGAAGAGTTCATGCTGCATTTGAGATCGCTGGCGGGCTGGTACTGCGGGGCAGTAGCTGTAGCTCCTTTCCCATAGCCTAAATTTGAGAAGACAAGGAAAAGGAGCAAACGATGACTTGACATGACAATAATGTTCTAATCCAAGTTGTACTTTATGAAGGTGCTGCACTGCACAGGCAAATCTGTGAACAAAATTGGTCACAGTCTTGCCTGCCGCAGGCTGCAGGATGAAAGTATTGTCAACTGGGCCGTCGTAAGGTACCTTTCATCTTGCAGCCGGGTCAAGCGCAAAAAGGACTCCAATACTGATGGTATAAACAGCAGAACAATGGACAGTGTGCTGTTGTTTTTGTTTTTGTTGTTGTTTGTGTTGGTTTTATTTTTGTTGTTGTTGTTGATGATGTTGTTGTTGCTGTTGCTGTTGTTGTTGCTGTTGCTGTTACTGTTGCTGCTGTTGTTGTTGATGATGTTGTTGTTGCTGTTGTTGTTGCTGTTGTTGCTGTTGCTGTTGTTGCTGTTGCTGTTGTTGCTGCTGTTGTTGTTGTGGTGGTGGTGGTTGTTGCTGTTGTGTAGTGTGGTGCGTTTGAACATGCAAAAGTGGTCCAAAGGGGATGTGTTTTTCACATTTTGTTGTTGTTGAACTGATCCATAGAAAATTGGGTTCGCAATGGACAGTGACACTGCAGCCACAGGGTTGTGCCTTCCAGCCACTCAAAGGAGGTGTAGGTGCTTTCTCTGAATGGTAGGCCCAGACTTGATCTCCACCAACCTCACATTTGCAAGTTGAATCGAAAAATATCAAAAAACATTGAACAAATTGAAATAAATTGAACATGTTTTTGAACAGAATGTGTACGAACCGAGTACGTGCAAAGTCTACTTCTCCGAGTACATCGAGTACTGAGATGTACTGAGTACGAAGGTACGAGGCCACGCCTTTGGACCAAACCACCAGCCACAGAAGTCCGGGCCATCCCGGTCATCCCAGAAGTACAGCATCACGTCCAGGCCGTTGACCTTCAACGGCGGGCATCGGGCATTGCAAGATGCGATGTGAGGTGTCACAAGTTGGTGTCATGAACACATGACGAACACATGAACAATGACACAAAATGACACAAAATGACACAAAATGACACATGTCATGTCACACATTCTGCCAAAGGGCAACCTCAAAAAGCTACTAATATGAAGTCAACTGAAGACACTTTGAAAAATGTTTGCAACATGTTGTGCATCCCATGCTGACACATACGGAACGAAGTCAGGCTCTGTTTGCTCTTGTGCACCGCTTGCCGTGCGTCTTTGTCAAGGTCGCTTGTATATTATGATTTGATACTGTATCAAATCATATACTTGATACGACCAGCTTGAACCCTTTTGGATGTACTTCATCACAATGGGTGCGAAGCCATAACCCTGTGCAGCAAACATCAGGAAGCCACTGAGTGCGTGCAGATTGTTGTTCTCCAAGAACTATGTGAATCTCATGTTGATCTTTTGTAAGACACTCGCAGTCGAGGCGGAATTGAGAATTACAACTTTCCTGCACTGCTTTACAGCCTTTATCAAAGCACCAATCAACCTCGGTTCTGTTTTGAAGGCAAACCAAAGCACCATAGTTCATTTGTTTGAGGCCGTCCATGATTGAGGAGGTCACAAACCCTTGCATGCTGTGAGAACTGAAGCTGTGGCAAAATGAAAGAACGTTGCTATATGTTGCTATTCAGCTGCCATTCCCTGAGTTGCAACATGTTGCAACCACAGTGGACAAGTTGTACTCATCCACCAAGTCCCTGATGATGAGGTATCCATTGCGTAGAAAGGACGTGCCCATGTTATGCGCGGTGTCCGCCTACCCTGTCTTGTCGTTTTGCTGAATGAATTCGAGAGTGTCGTTGATGTAAAGAGTCAGAGATTTGGCACTGACCCGATCTGTGCACTAGAACAGAACAGTCAGAACAGTCTTGGTATAGCCCATTTGTTTCAGGCGGCTGGCCATGTGAACCCCGGCTGGACCCGCACTCACGACTCGATGGCAATGCGATCGCTCTTTTTAAATAGAGAGAGAGAGAGAGATCCAAACCGAAACGAACAGCAGTACTCTGTGCTGCCAGGAAACAGCCAGAAGTGAAACGCCATGGAAGAAAAAAATCAAACAAACAGCTGTCTGGTCAAGAAACTGTTAGAGCAAGGCTGCGAATCGTAGTGAGGAATTCATTGTTCACTACACAGCACTTTAGCCCTTTATGATCTGAACTGCTGACACCACCTATCAAAAATATCCCGAAAAGCCAGGCCTGTCCGTTCTTCTTGTAGACTGGCTTGCCATGGTTGTCACTGTGAAGGTTGAATTCACCCCTGACCTGAGAGAAACGCCCTTTCGCACCGAACTTCAGCCGGCTCCAGGCCTTTTGAACATGTAAGAAAAATCTGCCAATCTGCAGCATTTTGCTTGTGGGGCAACTTTTGGCGTCCACATCCTCATAGCGCCCTTGTCCCAATCTGCCTGCGCCCTGCAAATAAGCCTTCTACAATATCCCCGACCGTCTCGTGCTTGCAGCCGGTGACAATAATGCGTTCCGACCTGAGTCTTTCTCAAGTTCAACTTGTCTCCGACCTCGGCCTAATTTCTCCAGTTGGAAAAGTTGGAAAGAGATAAAGCTTGCACCTTCCCGACGACGTAGAAGGGCTGTAGCCGGCCTGGCATTTTGGAGATTCCCGGGGGTTATAAAGTTAAAAAGGAGCTCGAAAATAGTGAAAAGCAGATAAAAACAGGCGTGTTCCACAGGCACACCACCGTAGCCATATCCTGGATAGCCAGCCTGAGAGCTGTTCCTACCACAACGCCAAAACTTCAACCTTGCAAGCTAAGTAAGCAACTGGAGGCTGCGCCTGCGGGGCCTTGGCCAAAGCTACACAAATCTTCAAGACATTGACAAACAAGACATGACATCATTGACAAACAATCTTTCAGACGAGTTCATGCCATCTTCCGGACACCAGACACTTCCAGAGATTACCCAACACCTTCACAACAGCGCCGACATGTCTATCACTTCGTTTAATTCATTCACTTGAACCTATACCAGAAGGTGCCGCATGGAAGGCAAGCGGAACGGATCATGCAAACAGTATTCAGCCGGAGTTTGGAAAGACTAGGGTTGCCTAGAAAGGAAGTTCGGAAGTTCGGCATGCATCTGAGATCGCAAATGGTACGGTATGCCGCTGAGGACTATATTCAATATAGCAAGTAGTGTGCGGCGCACTTAGCATTCAGCCAACCAATGTCAACCAGGAGGCATCAGATTTTGCTTGAAGCAGGGCTCCAATGGTCCAAAGCTGAATTTGGTAAATAGGTTTGAGCGAAGCTCCGATTTTTGATGCAAAGCAACTGAGAGACAATATGGGGGAGTGCCAAGTACCAGTACGGGGCAGAAGACTCTAGCTGCGAAAGCAAAATGGTGACTTGCCTACGGACAAGCACACTGTTTGATTGATTGCTCCCAAACGCATCCCACTTGTCTAAAGACAGTAGGTCAAATCATTTGCATAGGGAAATAGGCAGTTGCTTGTGGCAATCGATACAAAAGCACTGAGTTCGGACAGCCAAGACTGCGCAGCCAATGCAGCTAATGCAGCTGCTTGAGTTTTATTGCTTGGGTTTGGCCAGCTTAACTCTACACCAGGAGAGACTCCGTCTTCCATACAGATTGTCACATACATCAGAGGCGGGGGCACTGTAGCCGGGCCTGGCAAATGAGTATCGCATTTTTTGAACATGGTTCTTTCTTCGAAAAGAAAATAGTAAGAGCCCAAAAGCGTCAGGAAGTCAAGAAGCAACATGCCAGCATTTCGCATAGGCAGTGGGGTAGCCAGCTGCTGGTGGATAACCTTGTCACAGAAAGCTGAGAAGAATACAAGCAAAATGCACTTCATTTGCTGCAGAATGGCTTCATTCCATTAGGCCATTAGGCTGCTGCCGGCAGGATAAGCAGCAGGATATCCATACCTGAGCTGCAAAAAACAAGGTAGGGCACGTGCGCGGTGCTAATCTACTAATCCTGACTCCAACTGACTGCGACCGAGGCGCATAATATCGAGCCTTGCCAGGCTCCGACTCTACCCCGCTCGCTGCGGGCCAAATGGCTTCACGGGAGGGAAGCATATGGAACCATATGGAACCAAGAGCCCAGAAAAGCCTTTCAAAGCCTTTCAATTTGCTGTCACTGTCAAGTTGATCACTGACCTGGAAGATCTCGCACGGCTCTTCAAGATATGACTTGACTCACTTTAGAATTTTGGTATTTTGGGGATGCACATCTTTTTGGGGTTTGGCATGCGATATTCAAATATATTTAAGATTGTGTTTTTTCTATAGGCAAACCTCTGGGCTCAGAGCACCGAGCGCTGCACTTTCCAAAGTCCAGGACCAGAGTTCTGAGGACTGCCCCGTTCCCGGGCGCCATTCTCCTAGGATTAGACAAGCCGCCTGAATCAAAGCATGCTGGAAACTTGCCCCTTTACAAAGGAATCGAAAAGCGTCTCTCTAAATGCTGGGGTGCTAGGTCTAAGTTGAACATCAAACAGATTCAAATAGGATGGCACCGTACGGCTCAAAAGGCTTTGCCTAGTATATAACGGATGTAACGGCACATAGTCACCATGGCAGAGTACATGTTCCGGTAAGTTCACAAACTGCTGCGATTTTTTCTGGTGCCATGGTAGGACGCTTGCCACACGGTACCTGTTTCAAGGTCTTGTATTGTGGCGAGGATGAGGCAGCGAGCTGTTTCTGGAAGGGTTACGGATATGGTGGGTTGACTCAGTTAATGCTGAGATCATCATTCGAGCGTCCAAGAAAGTCCGCACTGTCAGTTGGAGTTGTTGATGTATTCATTGGACATCATTGATTTAGCCATTTGGTGATTCATTCGTTTCAGATCGTCATTCTATTCCACCTGACTCGGTTCGATTCCACCGTTCGTTCCCTCAGTTCTTATTCAGACAGTCTGTCATGTAGCCTTGGGACCAATCGTTCCTTCCCTCCTCAATTCCTTCATTCTCCTTCATCCATCCTTTCATTGGAGCATGCAATGATTTGTCACATGATTACAACCTGAAGCAATCCTTGACAGCTCGAAACTTCCGCGCCCACCCGGTACTTGCGCGCATTATTGGTACAAAAATGATTCCAAGGTTTGCCATGCAGGTTGAGATAGAATTGAATTAAGACTAGATCAAGTTTCTAGAATGAATGTATTAAAGGTCAACCTATAAAAATAGAAAGGCTTTGCCCAGTTGCGCAGATTCACTCCGGAATTGTTTGTGTGTGTGTGTGTGCGTGCGCGCCGGGTCTACAGGGAAGCCCGTGCAGTATCTTCATAAGAGTCTGGCGATTTCAGCAGTTGCGATCCTTGACGAGAGTGGTCCTGCAGGCTCTGGACTTCAAAGTGGCATCTTGCCATTGATGCAACTGTAAGTCTGAGGAGCTTGCGCTCGTTTGAGCCTCAAAAGCTGAGACTGTCAAAGGGAAAAAGCTTGGGATTACCATCGGAAAGGCTTGTGCTGTGCACTTCAAAACAGTTTCCACCGCTCTCTCCAGCTGAGCCCAAAGCTGTCTTCATTCCCAGATTCCTTTTCCCTGCATTAGTAGCGCAATAAGTTCGGAACCAGTAGAGTGCTAAGCTCTACTAAACAACATGCTTTCCTGCTTTATGGAAACTCAGCGTTTCAACTATAAGACTGGAAAATGAAGGAGAACAGCGGCAAGCGGCAAGCAACTCGCCTGCCAGTGCTAAGTTCTGCCTCGCCGGCTGCTTTTCCTGTGCCGAACAAGCTCAAGTGGACTGTGAAAGTGATATATAATGATATATATATATACATATATATACATATATATATATACATATATATATATGTACATATATATATATACATATATATATATATATACGTATATATATATATACATACATATATACATATGTATATATATATGTATATATATATATACATATATATATACATATATATATATGTACATATATATATACATATATATATATACGTATATATATATACATATATATATATATACATATATATATATACATATATATATATATACATATATATATACATATATATATATACATATATATATACATATATATATATACATATATATATACATAAATATATATATATACATATATATATATACATATATATATACATATATATATACATATATATATACATATATATATATATATACATATATATATATACATATATATATACATATATATATATACATATATATACATATATATATACATATATATATACATATATATATATATATACATATATATATATACACATATATATATATTTACATATGTATATATATATATATGTGTATGTGTGTGTGTTTGATATATTTTCATCATATGTTTTCATATGTGTTCATATGTTTTCATATGTGTTCATATGTTTTGTATTGATGTGTGTTGTTCTCTTTGGAAGTAGGAAAAGAACGAAAAAGAGGCGAAAGCAAATTGTCCCAAGAAGTGGCCTGCACCAAGTGGCGGCAGCTGTCCACCAACACCACGAATAGGGGAAGCGGGAGCGCGTGGTGAAATGACTGCCTGACAATTCTGGATGGCAGACAAAATGAAACCGCGGCTTCCATGGTAATATGATGTAATATGCTGCTGACAATCCGTTTGCTTTACTCTAAAGTCGTGTCTTTTCGCGCGGCTTTTGGCTTGGGAGTGGAAACTTCACCGTGGAAAACCTGTAGGACAGGCAAACTCTAAGATATTACAAATCCTACGACTGGATTCCGATTTGATGAAAAGTGATGAAAGGGCACTCACCAGCCATCGAAGAGGCCCTGCACTGACTTCTCTCAAGGTTCAAGTAAAGGAGCAAACGAGATGTGCAAGAAAATCGCACACATGACTTTAACATCCACAGTTTCTTCTCAGAACCGACGCAGAACCACACTTGATACTTGATACAGTGTCTTTTGAAACAGCTGATTTCTGTTCTTTGATGCAGTAGATCATTCCATGCCCAAATTTGGCCACTTCTCAAGGTCCTCATTGGCGAGATTTCGGCTTCGAAGGACGGCAGGGACCTTTCAGAGACACTCGCGAATGCAAGAGTAACTTACCTGCAACCTTGCACCAACTTGCAAGAATTCGACCGATGCCTTCTCTCGTTCAGGCTCATTCGTGGTTGGCATCATCACCTTGCATTGATTCACTCTCAAACTCTCGCAAAGCCTTGTCTGAGGAACATGTGGACGCAAGTTCAGCTCATTGTATGAACGATGCAGGAGTTTGAAAGGACATGGAGATCGACATGCAGATTGCAGCAATTCTAGAGACTTGTTGGAGCAGCAAGGAAATTCTCGCACCTGTTGCTTCCCCGCACCTGTCACAGTCGATAACTCAAGCAACATGAAAAGCTGGTTGAGTTGCCAACTCATGCCCGGCACGCCAAGCATTCCTTTCACTTTGCCACCATCCAAGTGCTTCCTTCAGGGGATGAAAGAGGATGGACTCAACGAGGTGCCCAGCAATGGAAGCAATGGACTCCCCCACATTCTTTTCTTGACTTTTCAAAAGACTTGTCCGAATTAGGCCAAGTCGCAGCGTTTGCGCAGATCCCTCCAGCAAATGCCCGTAGTCCTTTTGATTCCATGTCGTCACGCAAATTACATCAATTTACTATAGAAATCTATAAAGTCTTGACCCACAGACGAGCAGCTGAATGTAACTCCAGCTGAAAACAAAACGACTCACCAAGGCATTTCAAAACAAGGCGGTTCCCGCTCCACCACTGCAATGACTGCAATGACTGCAATGGCGGTCTGTGTCGTATCGTGTCTCCTTCAGATTCACAGGCGCTCGAGGTGGTGCTTCAAGCTGAATACGCCCCCATCGACCTCGCAAGGCACTGGGTGGCACCGGCGTGCCACCAAACGTTGAAGTCGTCAGAAAGTCGTCAGAAAGCTGGACAGAGTGGTCGACAGGTAACAGAAATTTCAGACAGGTAAATGAATCGAAGTTGTCCATCTTTCTGCATCTTTCTGGATGCATTGAGATTTCAGCCGCGGTTGAAGTCGTTGATCAACTTCCCCATGAAAGGAGCTGGGTTCATGACCTTAAAGAAGAAACTCCTTGAAACTCCTTTGGACTGCTAGTCATTGAAACTAGATGATTCGTTTGGGCTCTCGGAATGGTTTGCGGTATGCTTCTGGTCACTTTTTTGTTGAATTCGAGGCATTCAGCCCGCTTGAGCACTTGACTGGTACAAAATTTGGGAGGATTGGCCCCTCGTACCTTCAGCATCGAGACAAGTGTAACTACGATATTATATTGCTCCAAACCGCATCCTTCAAAACCCTCCCAAAGCCAAATAAACTGTGGAATCATGTGCAATCCAGACATATCCAGACCTTCAAAAGCAACATGTCCTTTTGAATCCTTTTGACATTGTGCACAATGCGGCCGTAAAGAAATTGCTATCAGCTCATCAGCCATATTGGATTCGAAGCATCAGCATGATCGCAGCGAATACACAAAAATACACGAAACAAACCAAGACATCCAAGACATCGAAAAGGTCGTCCAACACAGCACGCATCGTAGTTCAGCAAGACGCAACTACAACAATGTCAGAAGCCAATAGAGCAAAGACACCATCCATCGATCCACGTGCATGACTGAGAGAGTGAGACATAAGAAGCCCCTTTTGCGACAAACATCACAACAAACACCATTCATCACAATGTTACATTTGGATAAATTTGCAGTTCTGTGAGTTCTGTGCAACCTGAACTTCGAGACCCAGACAGTTCACAACCCATTGGATCCGCCGGATCCGAGCATTACAGATGAGGCACTTGCAGCGTCTGGACACCGCCAAACGAGGGAAAGTGCTGAGATCGAAACCAAAGTCACGATACGTTGGGATATCATTGATATCATCTGCACAAAGCAAAATGGAGAGGAGAAAGAGCTACGGAGCTGGAACCCTGGTAGTGGAGTCCTGAGAAGATCAAATGGGGTGACATGGTAAGAAATTGGAGTCAGATATCCAAGCAGCGGGGTCCTGAAAACAACAGAAAACAAAGGATTGGCGTCGTGACGCTAAAACTGATATGGGTAGAAGTTTGAGGATGATGATTGGTCGCAGGTTCAAACGATTGGGAAAGACTACCCGACTACAGTACCTCAAGGCAAGCTCAAACTGTATTCCGCAAAGTACACCCTGACCTGAGCCAATACCTCGACCTGCAACTCCAACCTATCAGGGACCTACCACGTCCCACTTCAAAAATTGTGCCGTCCAAGACCCTCCCCGGATCCCTCTAAAAGACACTCCAGCCTTGCCCGACGCTGGCTTTCATAATCAAACCTGGATGTACCATGATGTACCAGGATTAACCCAGTTTTGCAACCCAACAGCAGTCAGGGGTCCAAATTTCAGAAGCACATAAGTGGGAAACACATGGGAAACAATCGGGAGACAAGTGGTGGACAAGCGGCACACAGACAAGTGGGAGACAAGGAGGAGACAACTGGGAGCCAAGCGGGAAACAAGTGGGAGACAAGTGGGAGCGGGAGACAAGTGAGACAAGCACAAGACAAGTGGGGACAAAAGGGAGAGAATAGGAGACAAGAGGTGACAAGCGGGAGAAAGGTGGGAGACAAGGTTGGAGACAACTGGAAGACGCGTGGGAAACAAGAGGGAGACGACCGGGGGAGACAAGTGGGAGAGAGTTGGGAGGCAAAGGGCGGACAAGTGGGAGACAAGCTGGACAAAAAGTCTGAGAGTCAAATGGGTCAGGGCCGAAAAAAAATGGCGAACCACCCCCAGACCCAGAGATTGAAACCCAACATGCACTGCTGTTGGGAACACCTGCAACTGAAATTTGACCGAAACAGCGCAAGCAAACGACCGTCACAAGCAGCAGACCGTCACCAACGACAAATCCGAGCATCCAAGGCTTGAGGACCATCGCAGGAAGACCACCACAACATAAATCAAACAGAATTTAAAGGACTTTGAATTACTTTCGATGACTTTGGCACCATCAGAATATCACTAGAACACCAACCAAACACCAATCTAACATCTGAACATGAACATAATGAACTCAACACTTCACAACATGTCACAACCCGGTGGGAAAATGGCAACGGTCTGCCGTGAAATGCTGAATCTCTCCCTGCCTGAGAGCCTTTTGGAAGTCAACACCATAGATCCGTTGCGTCTCTCTCCACACCTTTGGCCGCCGAAACAAAAACGCAAATAAACTATGTTGCTTGATGTTTAAGGCAACCCAGTTGCAGTTCCCTCGACCATGTGGGGATTTTCTTTCCACATCTGGCCACGGGACACATGAATTGCCAAAGTATAATTAGAAAGTGTTGTGACGAAAATCTTACGTATAAGAATCTAGGATAGAAATGTGTACAAGCGGATGATCTGTATCAAGTTCAAACAGTTTTCTGCCTTGCCCAAACGAAACACGAGATCGTAGCCCGTTTGCTGCCGGTCCACATGCTGGCGGGCAAGACACGTGCAACAAAGGGAAAGTGCGGTCTTTTGAGGTTGGACATTAGTGGACCAAAATGACATGCATGTATATATATATATACGTGATTATACGTGTATATACGCGCAGACATATATTCATACTTCATCATATTAATCATATAATATATTAATCTATAATATTGAATTATATATAATGTATATACACACTTGAGGCCGGGGAGGAGATACGAAAGCTTGCAGGACGGGACTAATGCCACGGCCCAAAGGGAGGATTGAACCCAGGCCTGCCAGGGGGGGGTATATCATTGGAATTCAACGGGCTGGTGCCTGCCTACTCCTTTCTAAAGAGCAACTTCAGCTAGCACAAGCTAGCTTTCGTCATAATATGTTAGCTTGTAGATTTGAATCGAAGATAATCTACTGAAAAAATGGTGGCCTATCATGTATTATTATGTAGCACAATCACATATAATGTGCAACATTGTGAAATACAGCAGAGACAAGTCATTGGTTCATATAGTCAAAGGAAGTTGGGAAGCAGTCTTCCGAGTTACGGATGATTTTTACCTGTATCAATACACTCAATGAAGGGTGGTGTGAGACTGTGGTATGAGACTTGACATCACATAACAATACACGCAATGAAGGGCGGTGTGAGACTGTGGTGTGAGACTTGACATCGCATAACAATACACTCAATGAAGTTGTGATGGCTGCATGAATGTTGCATGGATTTTGTTTTGGGGAGGAAGCCGGAGCACGAAACCTTGTATTTTTCCGAGTAAATAAAGTGGCTGCAGGCAACGCTGAAAGGTACCTCGTGTGTGCGGCGGGTGCGGCTGCGGTCGTTTCTGTCGCGAATGTGTTCCTCCTCTGTGTTCTGCAACGAGTGGTTGCTCCTGCGTGCGTAGTTCTATGCAATCTGCGGTTGCGGATCGCATTGGAATGGCTGCATGACTGTTGTGATCTGGTGTTGCCATGCGCGTAGAGAGATGCAGGTTTGTTACATGATGCTGCAAAACGCATTGTAATGGCTGCATGAATGTTGCATGGATTTTGTTTTGGGGAGGAAGCCGGAGCACGAAACCTTGCATTTCCGTGTAAAGTGGCTGCAGCCGGCGATGAAAGGTACCTCGTGTGTGCGGCGGGTGCGGCTGCGGTCGTTTCTGTCGCGAATGTGTTCCTCCTCTGTGTTCTGCAACGAGTGGTTGCTCCTGTGTGCGTAGTTCTATGCGTGTGTTGAATCTGCGGTTGCGGATCGCATTGGAATGGCTGCATGATTGTTATGATCTGGTGTTGCCATGTGCGTAGAGAGATGCAGGTTTGTTACATGATGCTGCAAAACGCATTGTAATGGCTGCATGAATGTTGCATGGATTTTGTTTTGGGGAGGAAGCCGGAGCACGAAACCTTGCATTTCCGTGTAAAGTGGCTGCAGCCGGCGATGAAAGGTACCTCGTGTGTGCGGCGGGTGCGGCTGCGGTCGTTTCTGTCGCGAATGTGTTCCTCCTCTGTGTTCTGCAACGAGTGGTTGCTCCTGTGTGCGTAGTTCTATGCGTGTGTTGAATCTGCGGTTGCGGATCGCATTGGAATGGCTGCATGACTGTTGTGATCTGGTGTTGCCATGCGCGTAGGTAGAGAGATGCAAGTTTGTTACATGATGCTGCAAAACGCATTGTAGTGGCTGCATGAATGTTGCATGGATTTTGTTTTGGGGAGGAAGCCGGAGCACGAAACCTTGCATTTCCGTGTAAAGTGGCTGCAGCCGGCGATGAAAGGTACCTCGTGTGTGCGGCGGGTGCGGCTGCGGTCGTTTCTGTCGCGAATGTGTTCCTCCTCTGTGTTCTGCAACGAGTGGTTGCTCCTGTGTGCGTAGTTCTATGCGTGTGTTGAATCTGCGGTTGCGGATCGCATTGGAATGGCTGCATGATTGTTATGATCTGGTGTCGCCATGTGCGTAGAGAGATGCAGGTTTGTTACACGATGCTGCAAAACGCATTGTAATGGCTGCATGAATGTTGCATGGATTTTGTTTTGGGGAGGAAGCCGGAGCACGAAACCTGGTATTTTTCGTGTAAAGTGGCTGCAGCCGGCGATGAAAGGTACCTCGTGTGTGCGGCGGGTGCGGCTGCGGTCGTTTCTGTCGCGAATGTGTTCCTCCTCTGTGTTCTGCAACGAGTGGTTGTTCCTGTGTGCGTAGTTCTATGCGTGTGTTGAATCTGTGCTTGCAGATCGCAGTGTAATGCCTGCGTCAAGGTTGCTGAGCGCCGCGGCTGCATGCGTAATACTTGCATCTTTTGCAGCTGAAAGCAGTGAATCGTATTGGAGTAGCTGCATAAAGGTAGTCATTTGTCAGCAGATTTTCTCCATTTTGGCGCTAATAATTTTCCTTTTAAAATCATTTTTAAAAAGTGCTTCAAAATCGTCCTTTTTTCGCTTTGGCGTCGAGATCCATCCGGTTTTGGAGCTGCAATTTCCGACGCCGCTGCGCGTAGTTCTATTGCGTTTCGCAATGCAGTGTCTGCAGATTGCATTGTAGTGGCTGCGTCAAGGTTGCTTGGTGCCGCGGCTGCATGCGTAATACTATTGTCTTGTGCAGCTGGATCTCGTAAATCGTCATGCCCTGAGCCTCCTAAAATAGTAAAAATTAGGGCGGCAAAAATTTACGTAAATGTTTACTGAGCTTAGTAAATATATACTACCGAAACTAAATAAGGTATATACCTAAATTGATTTAGGTACATACCTAAATTGATTTAGGTACATACCTAAATTGATTTAGGTATATACCTATTTTTTGTCATGTTTTTCACATATTATTTTTTGATTGAATTTTATTGTTATTTTTTGAAGTTTTTGCTGTTGGTTTTCTTAACATTTTGAATGGTGTGTCTTGTTGGCACTGTTCAATTGTAATACTGCTTTACATGTTTTATTTAGGTTTGATTGTGGTGATGGTTGTGTTTTGATGATATTTTCTTTCTGTTGGACTTGTGTATGTTACTTGAGCTTTTTGTACTTGGGCATGTTAGTTTTGTGTAGTTATTTGCTGGTTATTCTTGGGACCTGTGTATGTTACTTGAGCTTTTTGCACTTGGGCATGTCAGTTGTGTGTGTGCTTGTGCATCTTGGATTTGGCTTTCGATTCCTTATATGAGGGTACTGTTTTGTGTTTGTTTTAATGTGATCTTTGATGTTTTTTACTTGCGACAACTGTTTTACTTGAGAGATGTTTTGTTACTTGTGTGACGCTCTTGTGCTTAATTGTTTTTACTTGAGCATGTCCAAGTGTAAGTTGCAGACTGTGGGTCTTTTCCATGGGTAGAATTTGCATGTCAATATTGACTCAAGTAACTCATGTGTGACTAATATGTTCTTTTCCAGTTGGTCGCCATTTTGGCCTTGTGGACATTGAAACCTTTATAGAAGGTCTTGGCCTTCCTTTGGCTTGGAGCATGGCTGTACTAGATGTGTTACTGCTGTTATTTTCTGCATTTTTTTGCAAATCAAATCTTCACGGATTTCCTTATGCAATTCTTATGCACTTTTTTGCACTTGTTATGCAATTTTTGTACACTTTTTGTTTGCACTGCTTGTGCAATTTTTGTGCACGGTTTATTCATTTTATGCATTTCTTATCCACTTTTTATGCATATTTATGCATGTCTTATCCACTTTTTATGCACTTTTTATGCACGTTTCATGCGCTTTTTATGAAGCGCATAAAAAGCGCATAAAGAGTGCATAAAGAGTGCATAAAAAGTGCATGAGGATTTTGACCAAAATCAACAAAAAACACAGACCAACATCAAAACCAACCAAAACACACCAAAATCAGTGTACTTTCATTTGAATATATACTCACCCATATCACAGAAACATCAAAACCTAGTATATTTTTTTAGCTTAATTCACGTCAAGGAAATCAGTGAAGTACCTTCCATGTTCAATAGATTACAGGTAGCACAAGTAAGACAATTGGTCTGGCAAATCCTCAAGTAATAAAAAGTAATCTGCAGAGGTCTTCCATTTTCTCAAGTCCATATGTAGAAAACAGAAACAGTGCAATATCTCCAATGCCCTCAAGTAAGACATGTTTTGCTCATTGTGCCAAACCTGACCCGGCACAACAAGCAAAAACATAATGTCCATCTGTGTTTTTGTGCAGAAAATCACCCAATTGTTTTTTTGCTGATTGCACCGCACCGGGCCCGATACTATTCTTATACAAGAACCCCAGCTCCATATACTTTTCGGGGGGCATCACTGACATTGTGTTTTTGCTTATTGTACCAGACCTGACTCGGTACAACAAGCAAAAACACCATTACAATATTGCATGGTCCACAAGTCATCAGCCAGGTCCTCAATACACTAGATGGTGATGGCCAAAAATGCACCAATGATTTCACTTGAAACCACTTACTTGAGTCTTCTTACTTAAGCCCTTATACTTGAGCATTGTCTTGAAGTCCTTTTGCTTAAAAACATCTTCAATAGGTACAAGTTCCTTGGGCATGGTGAGTTTTCTTCCATGAGCATTTTATTTACACCTCAAACTTGAACCAAAAAAACAAATCATAGACCTAAATGCACTGATTCCATCTTAAAAATTGTATTTTCCAAAACATTTGTTAACCAGTTTTGTATGTTTTCAACAAAAAATATACAAAAAAAACAGCTTCAAAAAAATGAAGAAAACATAGGTATAAACTAAATTGATTTAGGATTTTTCAAACTTGTTTAACCTAAATTCTTCGATGCACGTAAATTTTGAAAATTAGTAAATTTACTTTTTTTGGAGACTAAGGGTGGAGTGGCTGCATCAAGGCTGCGAAAGTGATTTGTTAAGCAGATTTTCTTAATTTTGGCGCTAGTAGTTTTCCTTTTGGAAGTCCTTTTTAAAAGTGTTTCAAAATCGTTTTTTTCCGCTTTGGCGTCGAGATCCGGTTTTGGCGCTGCAATTCCTGTTGTGGTTATGTACAAGAAAGCATCTCTATATAATTGTGTTTTTCTGTCAAAGCTTGCTGTGTGCAAAAGATTTTGTTCGTAAAAGCTTGCTGTGTGTAAAAGCTTCTCTGTGTGTAAAAGCGTCTCTGTGTAAAAGTTTCTGTGTGTGCGTAAACGCTTGCCATGTGTAAATGCACTGTGTGTAAGCATTCTGTGTGTAAACGCTTGCTGTGTGTGAAAGCTTGCTGTGTGTAAAAAGCTTCTCTGTGTAAAAGCGTGTTGTGTGTAAAAGCTTCTCTGTGTGTAGAAGCTTCTCTGTTTAAAAAGTTTGCTGGGTGTGTAAACGCTTGCCATGTGTAAAAGCACTGTGTGTAAGTGTTCTGTGTATAAACGCTTGCTGTGTGTGAAAGCTTGCTGTGTGTAAAAGCTTCTCTGTGTAAAAGCTTGTTGTGTGTAAAAGCTTCTCTGTGTGTAAAAGCTTCTCTGTTTAAAAAGCTTGCTGTGTGTAAAAGCTTCTCTGCGAAAGAACTTGCTGTGTGTAAAAGCTTTCTTTGTGCAAGCTTTGTATCACAAAGTAGTACTGGGACGTACTTTGTGCAAGCTTTGCAGTACAAAGTAGTACTGGGAAGTGCTTTGCGCAAGCTTCGCAGTACAAAGTAACTAGTACTGGGAAGTACATTTTGCAAGCTTTGTAGTACAAAGTAGTACTGGGTGCAAGCTTTGTGTCGTACAAAGTATTGCTGGGAAGTGGTTTGTGCAAGCTTTGTAGTACTAGTTTGCGCAAGCTGTGTAGTACAAAGTAGTACTGGGAAGTCCTTTGTGCAAGCTTTGTAGTACAAAGAAGTACTGAAAGTCTGGGAAGTACTTTGTGCAAGCTTCGTAGTACAAAGTAGTACTGGAACGTGCTTTGTGCAAGCTTTATAGTACAAAGTAGTACTGGGAAGTGCTTTGTGCAAGCTTTCCAGTACAAAGTAGTACTGGGAAGTACATTGCGCAAGCTTTGTAGTACAAAGTAGTACTGGAACGTCCTTTGTGCAAGCTTTGTAGTACAAAGTGGTACTGAGAAGTACTTTTTGCAAGCTTTTGTAGTAGACAGTAAGTAGTGCTGGGAAGTAGTTTGTGCAAGCTTTGTAGTACAAAGTAGTACTGGGAAGTGCTTTGTGCAAGCTTTGTAGTACAAAGTAGAAATGGGAAGTGCTTTGTGCAAGCTGTGTAGTACAAAGTAGTACTGGGAAGTGCTTTGTGCAAGCGTTCTAGCACAAAGTATTGCTGGGACTTGCTTTGTGCAAGCTTTGTAATACAAAGTAGTACTGGGAAGTGCTTTGTGCAAGCTGTGTAGTACAAAGTAGTACTGGGAAGTGCTTTGTGCAAGCTTTGTAGTACAAAGTAGTACTGGGACTGGGACGTGCTTTGTGCAAGCTTTGTAAGACAAGTAGTAGTACTGGGAAGTGCTTTGTGCAAGCTTTGTAGTACAAAGTGGTACTGGGAAGTCCTTTGTGCAAGCTTTGTAGTACAAAGTAGTACTGGAAAGTGCTTTGTGCAATCTTTGTAGTACAAAGTAGTACTGGGAAGTGTTTTGTGCAAGCTTTGTAGTACAAAGTAGTACTGGGAAGTCCTTTGTGCAAGCTTTGTAGTACAAAGTAGTACTGGAAAGTGCTTTGTGCAAGCTTTTTAGTACAAAGTAGTACTGGGAAGTGCTGTGTGCAAGCTTTGCAGTAAAAAGTAGTACTGGGACGTGCTTTGTGCAAGCTTTGTAGTACAAAGTAGTACTGGGAAGTACGTTTTGCAAGCTTTGTAGTACAAAGTAGTACTGGGAAGTGCTTTGTGCAAGCTTTGTAGGTACTGGGAAATACTTTGTGCAGGCTTTGTAGTACAAAGTAGTACTGGGACGTGCTTTGTGCTAGCTTTGCAGTACAAAGTAGTTCTGGAACGTGCTTCGTGCAAACTTTGTAGTACAAAGTAATACTGGGATGTGCTTTGTGCAAGCTTTGTAGTACAAAGTAGTACTGGGACGTGCTTTGCGCAAGCATTGTAACACAAAGTAGCACTGGGAAGTGCTTTGTGCAAGCTTTGTAGTACAAAGTAGTACTGGGAAGTCCTTTGTACAAGCTTGGTAGTACAAAGAAGTACTGGAAAGTGCTTTGTGCAAGCTTTGTAGTACAAAGTAGTACTGGGAAGTGCTTTGCGCAAGCTTTGTAGTACAAAGTAATACTGGGAATTGCTTTGTGCAAGCTTTGTAGTGCAAAGTAGTACTGGGACGTGCTTTGTGCAAGCTTTGTAGTACAAAGTAGTACTGGGAATTGCTTTGCGCAAGCTTTGTAGTACAGAGTGGTACTGCGAAGGTCTTTGTGCAAGCTTTGTAGTACAAAGTAGTACTGGGAAGTGCTTTGTGCAAACTTTGTAGTACAAAGTAGTACTGGGAAATACTTTGTGCAAGCTTTGTAGTACAAAGTAGCACTGGGACGTGCTTTGTGCAAGCTTTGTAGGACAAGTAGTAGTACTGGGAAGTGCTTTGTGCAAGCTTTGTAGTACAGAGTAGTACTGGAACGTGCTTTGTGCAAGCTTTATAGTACAAAGTAGTACTGGGAAGTGCTTTGCGCAAGCATTGTGTAGTACAAAGTATTGTTGGGAAGTGGTTTGTGCAAGCTTTGTAGTACAAAGTAGTACTGGGATGTGCTTTGCGCAAGCTTTGTAGGACAAAGAAGTACTGGAAAGTGCTTTGTGCAAGCTTTGTAGTACAAAGTAGTACTGGGAAGTGCTTTGCGCAAGCTTTGTAGTACAAAGTAATACTGGGAATTGCTTTGTGCAAGCTTTGTAGTACAAAGTATGTCGGAAAGGCTTTTCTGTCTAAATGCATTCGTGTCAAGTGTTTGTGTGCAAAAACTTTCTGCGCCCAATGTTTTTTTTTATGCAAGAGACATCTCTCTGACAGTAAGCGCTTTCTGGCGTACAGAACAGCTGAGATGAGTTGAGAACAACTTAGAGGAGATGAGAAAGGCTGATCAGTGCTCGGATGAGGTGAAAACAGTTGAACTTACTTTGATGACATGTGAGAAGAGATGGGATGAGATGAGAAGAGCTGAGATGTGGTGAGAAGAGCTCACATGCTTTGAGATGAGATGAAGTGTGGAGTGCGAAGTGCAAGTGTGGAGTGTGAAGTGCGAAGAGTGCAGCGTGAAGTGTGCGGAAAGTCTTCGCTTGGCGTTGCCTTGCACCGGGGTTGCGCGCAGGTCATGTTCTTGGACAACATCTGCGCAACAGCTTCGCACAAAGCACGCACGCACGGGCCTGGCTGGCGCACGGCGCATGCAAGTTCTATAGATGAGAAAGGTCTTATAGTATATCCAACTTCCGCCCCGCTTCGTGCGGGTACTACTGGTACAATCGATATCTGTATCATCATGTGAATGATCGTCATCCAAATAACAGGCCTTTTCACCAAAGATTCGGCACATGCATAGAAGCATCTGCTGCTCCTGAGGATTCTGGTGAAATCCGAAAGGGAGATTCGGCATGATTCAGCTAAATCATGCGGTCCTTGGTGAACCTTCTGCCAAAGCCCACCGGAATGAAGCCAGGTGCATCCAGGAATTCGAGCTCTGTGTTCCTGAAACGTCAACATTCGAGTCATTCGAGCCATTCGAATCATACGAGTCATGCGAGTCATTGGAAGCATGGAAGGTGAAGACTTGACGCTGTGAGAGGTTGCCTGAATCCACCGATTCTGTGCCACGTCAACCGTCTGGTAAGTCCAGGTCTAGCATCCTGCGCTTTCGCCGTTGCAGCAATCGGAAAGTGCAGAAAAGTCTCAGAAAGTGTCAGAAAGTGTCAGGTGACTCATGGCATCGATATCTCATGCCTGTCACATGACCATCATGAGTTCACATCGCCCAAATTGCCAGACCGGTGCCTTCGCAGCCACTTTCCGCCCAGTGAGGCGATTGATGATGGAAGATTTCCCAACCTCAGCACTGAGCCCTTTTGTAGTGGCTCAACATGGGTCAATAAAGTCCAGCAGAACATGGCAGCTATGTTGATGCTGAGGTTAACACATTGGGGAAGCCAATCCTTGGCAGGAGTTGCATCCGTGATTCCAAACAGTGTCAGACCAACGGCCTTCTAAATTTCAGCTGGAGCTGAGCCACTGTCCAAATACACCAAAGTCGCAAAAATGATTTGCCGAGCTACATCATAGTGCGAATGGCACGCGGATTGATTCCCTGGCGTTTTCGCCTCACATCAACCCGGTGTCATTGTGCAAATGGATGCAATCAGTTTCAAAATCAAATTAAAGCACTGCCGATCGATCAAGAATTTTTAAGAATAATACGTGTATATATATTATAATATTATATATATATATATGTGGAAAAAATGAAAAAAGGAGAACATATAGTAAAATATGTATAAATAAACAAAATATAACAAAATTAACATATTTGAAATATTCAGTGGTCGTCCAACATCTCGAACATCTTCCAACCTTCGATTTACGTAGGCACCAGCTTTCAATAACTCCTCGCGAAGCTCCTGGCGTGCACTGAACTTTCCCTGTGTGCTGACAGCCAGCGTTGACATGACCGGACACAGGCTCGTGAGGCACACAAGCCCACAATTCAAGTTCAGGTTTCATGTTGTGTCTTGTGTCTTGTTTCTTCTCAAACATCAAGAATCAGTGAAGAATCAAGAGCCAAAACCAACTATCGATCTCAAGATGGTATCGGTATAGGCGCCAAAACGCCACCGCCACGCACCCATAGCCAATTAAAGTGCGGTTCAACCGCAAAGTGATGCCAGCATGGTGCTAGCAATATCTAGCAATTAGCAATAGCTGGCATAGCTCCCACCTCAATGCCAAAGGTCCCCAGCATCGCATCTACAGGAACAACTGGAACTCCACGATCCCGCTCGCTCTCTTTGATGTAGCGAACCGTTTCCTACATCTTTCAGCGTCTTCCATGAATTAATTGATTCTTTAAATTGTGTAAATGAAAATGACGCAAAATGACGCAAAGACTCCTACATACTTCCTTGTACCCTAGAGGCCTCCAAGGCAGAAGGTGGTACAAGATCAGCTTTGGTGAGGACGATGACCCGTGGTCGTGGCCGTGCCCATTCTGCCGGAGACATTTAGTTTTGTTTTGGAATCTCGTCTTGGAAGGGCAGAAAGGATGGAAATAAAATGGAAAATGAATCGAAATGACAGAATGAAGATGAATGAAGTAACCTTGGGCCCCGCCTGGGACATCTGGGTGTGTGGTTGTCCATGGTATCCGAGCATCTCGCACCTAGCCGCTAGCCGCTAGCCAGAGTGAGGGCAAAGTTGGAACAAACATCTGGATGCACAGGGAATCAGACGGCCTTGTTTTCCCTTCAAATCCAGACCCTTTGCAACTTTGCAGACATGATAAATGATCAATACAACTTAACACAACTCAACCTGACTTGACCTCATTCAATCTGCTCTACACATGAGGCACCTCAATGACAACATCGACCCGCTTCATGTGCTTCAGTTGCATGTCTCGAATGGCCTCGCTGAAAAAGGTTGAAATAACTAGCCATGTCAGCCATGTTGCACAAGCAAAGGAAAGCAATGAAAGGTGGAAAAGGTGAATTATTCTGGTCCCTTTGCCTTTGATCATTTCAACATCTGGGTGTCTGGCCACTGTCTGGTAGCCAGGCCGCCAATCGATTGGAATATCTTTGCTGGCTGCACCTGAAGTCTGAAGTCTATAGGTCCTATAGGTCTTCAGTCTTGTCAAGCCTTCTCAGCCGGGATGCAGAGGGGCTCAGAAAAAGATTATAGCACGATGATTGTCACTATGTAGTCCTTAGATGTCCTTATTAATGGCGTGGGTGTCGCAGTTCTCTGAGCATCCTGACTCAAACGCAATGTACGTTGGTCACTGCAAGCCTTAGTCCATATTTGCTGAAAGACATGTGTGGTTCGTGACCATCTGTTGATCCAACCTCCAGAATCTCCTCTGCGGTCATGGATGAGAGCTTCTTGAAACTGTTCTTCAGCACCTCCAAGGAAAGAGATACTGCAAACAAAGCCGAGCTTGGACACAGCAAAACTTCACTGAAAGAATCGAGTAAAATCAGTCAAACTCCAAAAGCCAGTGGCCATTGGAAACCGGCTTCAACTACACATCCACAAACGCTGAGCTTTCGCTGCTTCAAGCTCTCAGGGAACATCCTTACAACCAAAAGGGAATCTCCGAAAATAATTTCGTGATTTGGAAAACGAACAAAAAATATTTTAAAAAAAAATGTTGCTTATTTGAGCATACCAAACACGAGGTGACATCTTGCACCTTGAAGCCATTGATTCCGCCCAAGAGCTGGGTACCTGGCACTGGATTGTGCTGTTTGGAAAGTTTGGAAAAGAAAGCGGTACCGGTTTTCCGAGTCAATGCCCGCCTGCTTGTTCCAAACGGTCTTTCACACTCGGCAAGTATCTCAAGTTGATATTGTCCTCAGAATACATTGCGATTGCTCAGTCTTGCCCTTGAGCAGTTGATAAATGCCAAAACCATTTGAAAATATGTTGGAACCTTGTTGAAACCTTCCAAATTATCATCCTTTATCCAAATGTTATCCAAATGATATCCATGTGTGAAGAGGGGAACCGCTCCTGCTCCAGCCGCTTCTTGTATTGCTGCTCATAGAACTTCTTCATCTTCCTCATGATGGGATAATGGTGTGGTGAAGCTCAGAATTTCTCACTCTGTGCTTACCATGCTTGTCACATCTCGTCACAACATGTCATAGCATTTCCAAGTTTTGAATAGTTTTGCCACATGCTGACGCCTCTTCACATACTTGCTGCTCTGCCAGAATGGCTTGTCCTCGATGTACTGCAGAGGTTGGTACCTGCGAAATGCAAACCCGTCCCCACTGCACCGAGCATCTCTTCACACTGGCTCACTGCGGCGTGGGGGAGTAGATGCCCAGCTTTGTTTTCAGTTTCCACCTTCAGCACAAGAACAACTACACTCCTGAAATGCGCACACAGACTTCCTTTGACCACTTAGACAGTGTGAAGTTCGTTCTGTAAAATCATCAGAGTCTGAATGAGGATATGACCAAACTATCTGTGGACTCTGGTGCTAAACTACTGGAGAAAAACAAACTGATCCTTTGACCAACTTTGACCAACACTTCCGAGGTCCATCATGTCCTGGGTCACTCACGTTTGCTTCTCCTTCAGGATTTTTAAAGCGTCGTCAGCACTTCGATTGTGCACTAGTTTCAGGAGTACCTTGGAAAACGATGAGTGCGATACAAATGTACGACAAAGTTTCTGGTTGTGGGCATTCGTCAGCTGGAACAGCTCTATATCCACGTCCCAAGTGCTGAGAAATCCGGTATTTTGAACTCATCCACATCAGCAGGCAACGGCATTCGATACGCTTCTGGCAGCGATCACGCATGAATGAATTGTGCATGACTTCTACGGAGCTGAAACTGTCCAGAACGTCCAAACATGCCACCAACACTAGTAAGACCTCCGTATGGATCCTTGGATCATGGAAGCAATTTCGACGTTTCCGAACCTTCTATCTTACGTGGAAATCCATAGGGAATCGAAACACTCAAAGCACTCCAGAAACGCAAACTCAAACGACTACTCGATACACAGAAACACCAAATGTTTCGCTGCAGCTGTGTATCTCGATCGGTTCGAATCACTCCACCCCATCCTTCTCCAGGTCTCGGATCTTTCATAACTGGCAGATGCGATGGCAGGGTAGCACAGACAAACCGGATATAACAACAGCTAATGCTGGCGTTTGAGTAGACACGAGAAAGCACTCCCTCTCAAACATATGTTATCCATTGTTATCCGCTATCATCCGCCATCATCCGCCATCATCCGCCATCATCCGCTATCCATCATCTCCAAATTTAGCGCCCCCCGAGACCGACAAGTAAGGTCAAACGTTTCAAGCAAATTGTGAAATGTGTTTATGAAAAGCTCTCTGGAAATCGATTCTCAACTGACTGGTGGTTTCATTGTTGGAAATGAATGATTTGAATTTGAATCGGAACTGACTAGTTTGAATTTGAATTTGATTTGACTTTATTATCGAGTATAGACCTAATTTAAGCCTGAGCGAACATTATCTTCCAACTTCGCTTTGAACTAGAATCTAAACTGGTTGAATTTGAATTTGTACTCTGGATTTTTACCGATACTGGAATTGAGTTATATTGAGTATACAAGTGGAATTCAATTCAAGTTCAAACTAGTTCAAACCTACTTTCCTTTGAATTTTTAGGAGGTGCCCCACAACTGTGGAACCTCGTTTGGGGACAACTTCTCTGATCAAGGTGCTGGCATGCTGGACTGCCCCATTTGTGCCAGGGCTTGGGAAGCATGTTCAAACCAAATGTCACAGTGAAAATGCAAATTCAAGACCAAAATGACATTTTTTTCGCAACTCGCAAAACAAATCATCACCCGACAAAAGGAATAAAACAGCGGGAAAAGTTGGCTCGATTTGCTTGGGGGGTTGCTTACCAGTTCCGGGGATTTGCGTACTTATAGGGGTGTGATCGATCGCATGTGAACGTTCTAGGAGACAGGGTGCCACAGGAGCTACAGCAGCTGGAATAGTTACCAAATTGACTGTTGTTGACTATGAAGCGTGTGAAGCGCTCAATCTTCATTTTCGATCTGGCTACCGGCTAACGCTGCTAAGGACTTCATCCACTTGGTCCCCAGCCTTCCTTACCACCTGCTTGTCCTCGTCTAGCCATTGATGGAGCACTTTGTCGCCGCCGGCTGACACTGGCACTTGCAGCGCTTGCGGCGCCAGCAAGACACCTGGCTTTTGGACGAAGTCTGGGGAGAGCATCTCTGGGACAGCACCCGTAGGAGTACCCCAGTTAGCCCGAGACAAAGTGCGACAAAGTGCCACAAACCGAGCAAAGTGCGACAAATGACAAAGGACACAGACATAGCCGGGGCTTCACATCTTCAGAGACGGACTCACCATCAAAACGCAAAGGATGGCATAGAAGGGCAAAGAAAGGGGAAGCGGAACTCAGTCGCTGACAATCCGCACCATGTAGAGCTTGTGGAGGGCGAGGGATGGGATTGACCTGGTCACATCTGATCACGCTGGGAGGTAAGAAAAAGTAGCTTTAGCTGGGTGTATATTGTATGTGTATATATATATATATATATATTAGTGTAACTTTATGGCTGCTTCATACACTGTCATAGCGAGCATAAGTCCCAATACAGACTGAACATGGGCCCACAGAAGTGAGCAAGGTGGACGTTGGCCTCATGGCCTCATGGCCCTCATGAGGCTTTAGGCAGCTTCCAGGCAGCTTCCAAAGAATCATACATCGATGTCATATCATCCATCTCATCCACAGCCAATAGCGATCGACATAGGCAATAATAATCGATAATCTTGGTGCTAAATGGTGCTAATGAGTAGTTGATTGTCTGGCTGGACGGGCTGATTGTTGAAACTGACTATTCGCTTTAGCCACTGAGCCACTGGATTAAAATATATGCTGCATATATATATATATATATATGTACGTACATATAAACATAGATACTGTAATTATATATATACATACATATTATATAATTTATAATTATGTGTATATAATATATATATATACACAAATAGTTGTGTAGACCCTTCTGCAAGATGCTAACTATACTAACTTTCATGTAAAAAATACACCCAGAAGGCTTCAAGAAGTTCTGCGAGGCAGCTGTGTGGCTCCAGCCTCTTTCGAAGGGCGCATCACTTCTCGCAGGTGGCCTGGCAAGCAGTGTGCAGGCAAGACCGGTTCACCCGGATGTGCAACTCCGAGCAGATTCTTTGCCAATTCTATGAAAGTCGATCTATGAAGCATCTCAGGAACGAAAGAAAAATAGAGAAATAATTGCTGCCTCCAGCTTCGCTGAATCAGTGGTGTGCTCCGGTGCAGCGGCACAAAGGCAGGCGCAGCCATTTGCCCAGAGAACTTCAGTGAACACTCTGAAAATCTGCAACTGGGTGACACTCATTGGCCGATTCTGCATACCGCGTGAGTACTTGTTCATGACACACTTCCAGTTGTGCTGTGAATGAGTCGAGCCGCAGCTTGCTTGGCTACTTCTGTGCAATTATCAGAGCCGCAGAAAAGGCAAAGCAAGAGCTCTCAAGAGGATTCAAAAGGTATCAACTGCTGTGGTGAACTCTCTTGAGGTCGCTTCAATTCGCTTCACATTGCCCCAACCCTTCACCAATTCAAAGTTGGTTGCCTGTGCTTCCACCTTCACGGGTGAGCCCGGACCGACCTTAGTTCCAAGAGAATGAGGACATCAGGCTGACATCAGGATTGAAACTTTGAAACTGTTCGCAATCAAGTCTAAACTTAAGTCATGTCTGAAAGCGGAGGTTTTGTCGGTCCAAGTCTATTGTACAAGTCGCGTTTCGTCAAGTCATCTTGCATAAGTCCCTGTGAGACTGGCTGGTAGCATGCCTGTTGGTCGCCCGAAGTGCACCAGAGTAGGGCCCGCGGCCTTCTGCAAAATTGCACGGACTTTGGAAGATCCACACTCCACGAATCAAAGGCAGTGTGCCATGCGCGCCCATGAAATGCTCTCACAAGCCTTGCTGCAACGGCTTTAAAGACTTACAGTTTGCACTCTGATATTTTTCAGGCAATCTGAGGCAACCTGTTTCTGTACAGAGGCTGTACAGAGGCAGTGCAATTCAGCTTAATCATACTGACTTGGCGTCTGCCATTCACTGTACAACTGCCTGCATTGCCTGCGGCGCAGCTCTAATCCTCAACTGTCCCCTTCTCACGCCACGCAGTCTTTGCAAGTGGGATTCCTGTTGTCAACTTATTCATAAACACCATTAATATCCAATGAAAGCATCGAAAACATCATTGACCGCAAAATGATACGAAATGACTTTAAAAACTCCGATGACAGCAATGGAAATCAGTCCTGCGGTGCTTTGTCAGCTGCGCCTTGCGCTGTCAAAAAGAAAGTATTTAGGGAATTGTGTTAATATGATACAAATTAGTCTGAATACATAGGGGCGTGGAACCGTCTCTGTGTATTCGTATCATTTAAAGTCATTAGGTACATAGATACATCACACTACACTACCCTCGGTTACACTACACTACATTGCGTTGAATCGCATTCAATCACAGCGCATCGCATCACGTCACATTATATACATCATACATTGCCAAAACAGAACAAAGCAATAGTACAATATAATAAAACAATATATAGTCGAAGGATATTGAGAAGTCAAACTTCCGACAATATGGGCAGATAGATGAAAAGCAGAGATGGGAAGAGTAAGAGAAGAGAAGAGAAGAGAAGAGAAGAGAAGAGAAGAGAAGAGAAGAGAAGAGAAGAGAAGAGGAGAGGAGAGGAGAGGAGAGGAGAGGAGAGGAGAGGAGAGGAGAGAGAAGAGAAGAGAAGAGAAGAGAAGAGAGAAGAGAGAAGAGAGAAGAGAGAAGAGAGAAGAGAGAAGAGAGAAGAGAGAAGAGAGAAGAGAGAAGAGAGAAGAGAGAAGAGAGAAGAGAGAAGAGAGAAGAGAGAAGAGAGAAGAGAGAAGAGAGAAGAGAGAGGAGAGAGGAGAGAAGAGAGAGGAGAGAAGAGAGAAGAGAAGAGAAGAGAAGAGAGAGGAGAGAAGAGAGAGGAGAGAAGAGAGAGGAGAGGAAGGAGAGGAGAGAAGAGAGAGGAGAGAGGAGAGAAGAGAGAGGAGAGAAGGAGAGAGGAGAGAGGGAGAAGAGAGAAGAGAGAAGAGAAGAGAAGAAGAAGATGCAGGCTTGCGAAAAGGTAGAAAAGTCGCGACGAAAAGTAGGTTCGCTAAAGTGGCGGGTGCGGAGCCATCTGGCCAGATGGGAAATGAAGAATTGCAGGCCGTTGTGGCGGGAAGCACATTTCGAAGTCAAACTGTACAAAAAAACACCACATGTTCAAAGCACTTTTGGAAGTTGAGATGTCGAAAAAGTGCACGCCGTTGTTTTGCGAAGCACATTTCCAAGTCAAAAGTGTTAAAAACTGATGGTCCCAGACCGCCTTTTGGAGGTTCAGATGTCGTTTCGTGTGGCAGGCGCATTGGGATTTGGCACCTGGTCAAAAGTGAGCAAAGTAGCAAAATGTTAGGGTTTTGTAGCAGTTTCAAAAACGTTGGCAGGCGTGGGACATTTGAAGAGGATCTGTAAAGATGCATGTCGCGTGGCAGGCACAGTACAAGAGACATGTTCATCAGAGATGTTAGGAGGTGCATCAGATCGTCAGGTTTGCTAAGATGATTTTGCGTGACAGGCGCAGCACTTCGTATGACTTGGCATCACTTTTTTGCGGCAGGCGCGGAAGGTGGAGTGGAAGAACCAAAAAAAGGATTGGTACGAGGCCGTCAGCTTTACACTCAACTTTCCATTTTTGAAGGAAGTCTCGCAGAATTGCTTCGTTTTTGATGTTGTCAACTTCGAAAATTGAGGAAGTCTCGCAGAATAGCTTCGTTTTCAAACTTGCAGATAGACAGACAGATAGACAGATAGACAGATGGCTAGCTAGATAGATAGATAGATAGGTAGATAGATAGATAGACAGATAGATAGATAGATAGCTAGATAGCTAGATGGATAGGTAGAAAATAGATAGATAGCTAGATGGATAGATACATGGAATGGATAGGATAGGATAGGATGGGATGGGATGGGATGGGATAGGA